GCGGGGGGGGGGAATGTATGGTATTAAGGGCGGCCTTTGCTATACGATGAAGCTTTGCGATTATTGCGGCAATGGGAATGGGAAAATATATAGTGGTATGCAAAATGCAAAATGTTTATATTGCTGAAGAATGCGAGAAGAAGGGAGATTCATAATTTAAGAGACAGGCTTAATGTATGTTAGCTGTTGTTTGTGTTCGATTAGACTATACACAAGCAAATGAATTCATGTAGGCGGTTGTGACATACGCAATCGAAGCATGCCAATTGGCATACTCCGACTGGTTGTTTTTTTTTTATTCTTTTTATCCTGCATAAGACAATCATGCCACCCAACAGCTCTACTCTAATCACGCAATCCAGAAAGTGTGTTTTGCGTCCAGTCCTTTGAAGTGATTACACCTCGTGTCCAACGGCGACAGCCTCACGCACCAGCAGCAGCGAATTGACCATCCGCCTTGCCAGATCCGCAGCCACATCCATACCCTCCGGCATCGATTCGCCGTCGTCCTCGAACTCGCGCTCATCCACATCATCCATCTCCCGCACCGACCTCGCGCGGCGGAACAGGTTCCTCACACTCGCCCTGAGTCCCGTCTCCCTCCGCACCCTCGCCTGTCTCCTCAGCTCGGTCCACGCGGCGGTAACCAGCAGCATAAACAGCGCAGCGGGCACAGCCTCACGGCCCCGGAACTGCGCCGCATGGCCCAGCATGACTGCAACCACATCGCAAATGCGCCTCGACCGGATCCTGATATCATCGACGCAACCCATCGCCAAAGCCATGCGCTCGATGTCCACGAGCAGCAGCTCGGCCCGGCCCTGCGTAGCCAACCAGTTGTCCCGCGCCCTCAGCCTCTCCGCGCGCGCGCGCTCCTCGTCGCTCGGCCCGGGCCCGAAACGGGCGCGGTGCGCAATCACCTGAACGGTGCTGAGGGCGTTATGCGGAGACCGCCACATGTGGCAGCGCCAGTGCGGCATGCGCCAGCCGCCAGCGGGGATGAACATGCCGGGCACGATGACGGTGTCATGGGGGCCGCCGGGGACGGTGGGTGCCATGGGGCGGGAGGGGTCGTCGTATTGCTGTTGCGGCGGAGGCGGCGGCGGCTGATCGTCGCCGTGCTCGTCGTCGCCGTAATCGTCGTCGCTGTCGTCGTCCTGCTGTGGCATCTGACCATCATCCTGCTGATTAGCCTGTTCACCATCATCACCATCACCTACGCCACCATCGTCCGGCTGATCAGCCTGCCCACCAACAACAACACCCGCACCACCTGCGGCCCCATCATCATCATCCTCACCCTCCCTCCTCGCCCTCAGAAGCGCCGTGTGGACGGTCCCACGACCGCGACGCCCGCGCTGCCGCTCCCTCTCCTGCATCTGCCGCAGCGCCAAAACCATATCCTGCAAAATCCTCCTATCCCGCAGGGTCCAATTCCCCCGCCGCGAGCCCGCCGTCGACGCCGGCTCCTCCTCCTCCTCCCAAGCCGCCGCCCGGCACATCGGACACGAGTTGTTCTCCTGCAGCCATTCCTTGATGCACGCGCGGTCGAAGACGTGCTTACATGGCAGCGCGGCTGTGTCGTCGCTGTATGGGTTCAGGCAGATGGGGCAGTGGGGGAGGTTGCTGTTGTCCTCGTTGTTGTCGGCGGCGGTGTCGGCGTCGGAGGGGTCGGGGAGCGGGGGGAGGGCGTGGGTCAGGGCGTTGCGGATTAGGGTGGTGCGGTAGCGGGGCGGCGGGGTAGGCGGAAGGGGGATGGAGGTGGACGGAACGGGGATGAGGGTAGGGGAAGGTGAAGAGGACAGCGTGGGTGAGGTGTCTTCGCGGGTGGGAGGGGGTTCGGCTGTGGGGGGGCCGGCGTCGACGGTGTCGTCCCCCGGTGGGGGGTCAGCGTTGGGTCTGTTGGGTGAAGAAGACATTTCGGTCTGGAGCTCGTAGGTTGTCGGTCTTGGGAGAGCCTCAGAGCGAAGTGTAGAGGGCTTGAGGAGTGAGGAGAGGGGTTTATGTACGGCAGAGGCTGAATGCATTGTTCGTGGATACGTCCGTTGTGTACGTACGGGGTGGGTGTTACTGTACAGCACAACGTCAGTCACTGAGCCATTCTCTGCCTTTCGAGACGGAAGAGGGCTTGTGTTATTGCTTCGCTCATATTGTTGTGCCGCAGGATCACCCAATATCCCCCCAGACCGTGCCCGAGCGTGTGCGACTCCGCTGCACCCATCTGGCGCCCTCGATCCGCTGTATCTATTATTGCATCTTCTTGATCGAACTCGGCGGATGGGATCATCATCTGGTACGCTGGGTGCGTTGAGGGGCTTGCGGCGACAGGCTTGGCTTCGTAGCCAGTGCGACACTGTGAGATGGGATGGCGTGGCAGGGAGAGAAAGCGGTCTCTAGCGCTCGTTGCGGATGGCGAGAAATGAGGCTGACGCAGGGCTCGAAGGATGGGCACCGATGATCGGGGGTGAGCTGGATGACGGTGGTCTTTCCAGTCCAGCCGCGCGGGCGGTGGATGATGTGGAAGGCGCAGTCAGGGAGTGCTTGCAACACCTCTCTCACGCCCGCCTTTCTCTCTCTGCACCCCCATCGCCGGTCGCAACGGATTGGCCGTACTCCAACTTCGTCATCGCCACAATTTTCCAGCACATCGCATACCGCGTCGTCTTACATGATGAGCCAGCACCCGCCCCGACTGTTTGTAAAGCGAGACATCCATGTAGGCAGGCGCTCTCGTATCAAAGCCGCTTACGGCCGCTCGACCGGCACCTCCATCCCAGTCGCCGTGAAAATCCTCAACCTGGGACTCGGGACTGTACGCGAAAATGCGCTGAAAATTCTTACTAGGACTAAAAAGTCATACTGCGGCACTCCTCTCTTCGTCGAGCTTTTTGATTGTGTCTATACGTCGACCGCCGCCCGGTGGATGTCGCATTGAGTACTACCGCTGCGGCAATCTGCAAGAATGTTGGAGGCACCTCATCGACGCCAGCAGGGGAAGCACCTCCCCGAACCGGACGATTTGGGACGCTTACGCCTCCCTTGTCGACAGCGCCCTTTTGTTTCTCAGTATGGCAAGACGGGTAGACCCACCATCGGGCATCCCCAACCCTAGCCAATCTTCTACAGAGACATCCAACCAACAAATGTGTTCGTACGACTCTCCGCTGGGACCACCAGATTGAAACAGCCCGTACTCTCGGACTTTGGAATTGCCATGGAAAAGAAGAAACTCGGCTGGCACAGTGTGATGAGTGATCAACCACAGCTCACTTTATATACGGTACGGCGCGCCAGCCTGGATGGCATCAGAGCTGTTCATAAGCATGCAAAATCCCAGGTGGTTAGAACCGCAGCCGCTCCCCAGCGGAAAGTGTTACATCTGGCGCGATGGTGCCATCGTGCACTTTCTCGCACTTGGCTGCCCCCCGTCGCCCACCAGCTCAACACCACTTACCCCTACAAGAGCACCCGTTGACTTTGGGCTTTCCCTGCCTCGTGCTTCCACATTCATTGATGAGATAGCAACAGACAAGCTTGCCGGGCCCGGTACAAGTCTTCCCTTCGTTGACAAGGTACCCCCCTATCAGTGTTCAAATATTCGAGGTAGTTGAACTGCAGGACGATGAAGGCACTGGGTTCTAATCCCAAAACGTGCTCAATTATCGATGGCCTGAGTAAAGAGTCCCGGATAGATGCAGCTAGGCTATCCACGACTACTGCCCACACTTACCCCCTTCAAGCTCTTCGTAGTGCACCTCTTGGAATCGCCCTCATCGAGCAGCGTCTAACGCCCGCTACCCTTTGAAGATCCTTATCAAAAACCCGTATTTAGTTACCACTGGTCCCCTCGACATATGTCGGAACTTTTGGGAACGATGGATCTCGCCAAAGTCCCCTTCAATTGTCGTGATAAGCGAGACTTTGGCCGCCCATATAGCTTGGTTCAGAAGAATCGCCGCCAAAGTTTTAGGAATGGGGCCCAACTCAACACGCACTTCGGGGCCGTGAATGACAAGCATTAGTTTGACATTTGCAAGAGGAAGGAGGATCTCGACAACATCAGCAAGGCCACCCCGACAATCACTCCTTGGAGGACTGCCCACCAGAGCAACAGGGCTCACACATCGAGGCCTAGACACAATAGAAAGGAGACCAATACCCAAAACTGGTCCAGCACTTCGATAGTGCCATGTTCGGGCACGATCTTATTAGGCGCAGGGTGCTGAGGCGAAGTAAAGGCAGCAGTCTCCACAATCAACATTGTGTTCACAGTTCAAAGTGAAAAGGGGAGACATCAAGGAAGAGTTTATGTGCTCAGGGTCGGAAATTCAGTTACGTTAACGATGAAGGTTTCAATGCAGACCGGATGTCGGGATTAAGTAGAGAAAGTTGAAAAAGGTTTCTTGGCCACAGGTTCTTCATTTGTCTTTTCGCATTGTGCTCATGTCATCGTTAGCAGCACAGTACCCTTATTTGCCGTTTGTGAAGTGTGCGCAGAAAGGTAGCTTTAGCCAGAAAATCAATTGCAATCTTTCTACTGAAAAACTGAAACGATGGTCTTCTGATTTCCCCTCTCCCCGGTCCAGCAAACGACAATCTGAATCATCAAGGTACATACAAGAAGCATAACAAACCGCATCCCGTCATTCGTCCTCCAAAACGAGCGTTCATATTTGGTTTTGCGTTTTTTTCCGTTTCGCAAATCATCATCGTCATCCAGCATCCATGCGACCATCATCAACCCACATCACCTGCTCCGCATCTCCCATCACGCCCCTATTTACAAACTCTCTCCCCACCAGGCGAATTTTCTTCCGGCCTCTAAGAAGCAGTGAAGGTGCTGTTCAAGTCGCCGACCTTGATGTTCGAGTAGATGACGGACGCGTCCGCGTTCTCGACCTCGACGACGGCTGGGTCGCCCGAATCGACGGGGCAGGTGCCGCGCATGGCGCCGGGGGTGTCGTCGGTGGCGTCGGTGGGGTACTTGCTGTCGAGCCACAGCATGTTGCTGTGGTGGTCGTCCCACACGCTCATGACGAGCACCATGCCGGCGTTGAGCGCCTGCGACATGGACGCCATGCCGCCCTGGTCCTGGAACGACGTCGTGTCGCCGAACGCCGCCTTTTGCGCGTCGCAGTAGTCGGCCGTGATCGAGTTGCCGCTGACGCCAGACACGGTCGACTCCGAGTTGGGGATCGTCTTGCCGTTTTGCACGTAGAAGCGCTTGATTTCGGAAAGCGTGCCAGACGCGGTGCCGTCGTCGGTGATGAATTGCGTGACGACCTGGAGGACATGTTAGTGGGTTGCGGGGGTGAGTAAGGGAGAGGGGCAGCGTACGGTGATGGGGGAGTTGGTGTCGACGGTCAAACCGGGGCCGTAGAAGTCAGTCACGCCTTGGCGGTACGAGTTGAAGTCGCATCCGTCGGGGTCGCAGTCGCCGGCGTAGCGCGTCGCCGAGTAGGTGCCGCCGCAGTCGTCGCCGTTGCAGGAGTGGGCCGCGACCGTCTTGCAGCTGTGCGGCGTGTAGGCGGACGAGATGGAGTTGGCCTCCCAGATGTCCATCTCTGTTGGCAAGGAAGAGTCAGTCACTGTCATGGAGAAGGAGGGAAGTGTATCGTACCAGCACAGCAAGAGCCAAGGCCGCCAACACCGGCGTTGCTGTCGTTTTCGGACGGCGTCCAGCCCTCGACGTTGGCCTGGCCCTCGATGAACTTGAGGTCGCGGGGGCACTGGCTGTCGCAGTAGCCGGTGCCGTACTTGGCGCCGGCCTTGTTGTCGGGGAAGTTGGCCATGCCGCCGTCGGCGTCCATGGAGACGAAGTAGACGGCGCCGTTGAGGCCGCACGGCAGGTTGGACACGTCGACGTCGAAGGTGAACTCCTTGTTGAGCAGCTTGTGCACGGCGTACTTGGTCTCCGACTCCATGAGGTACATGCGCGAGCCGATGTTCTTCTGGGTGCTGGAGGTGATGAAGTTGAGCTTCAGCTCGTCGCCCGACGTGGTCGCGCCGTACGTGCCCTCGTAGTCGGCGCCGTCCAGAGCGCAGGCTGCGGCACAAGCCTCGTTTTCGGTGCAGTAGTCGGCGTTCCACGTGTTTCCGGTGTAGCAGTTGGTGTAGCCCTCGGTGTTGTGCACCCAGCGCCAGTTGGCGTCAACCACGATCTCGCCCTGGTTGGTGGTGCAGCTGCCGCCCGAGGCGCACGTCTGCCAGGTCAGGGAGGGGTGGACCTGCAGAAGTCGGTGTCAGCGCGCCGTGTCTTTGCGGCTTTGAGAGTAAGTGGGAGAGAGAGAGAGAGCATACCTCCTCCTTCTGGGTGCCGACCTGCTGGCTGGCAGCCAGACCGGCGAGGGTTGCGAGCACTGCCTGGGTAAGCATGGTGGAAGATGTCGAAGTGAATGTGGTGGTGCTGGATGCAGACTGAATCGGATGTCGCCATTGTGTGTTTTATAGCTGGCGCAGTGCCTGTTCCTGACCGAAGTCTTCTCGAATGTTTCCTATCAGTCGCCACCGCATCGGGCGGCGGGTTGGCGGACCGTCGGCGAGGGCTGGCAGCTCCAGATTGCCTGCAGGGCGGGTGATTGAAGTCGGGCGGTATAGCAGCGGGAGGCTCGTCCCATGCCGGGGCGCGAAGAAGTGAGGTGGGAAGATGGACGGACGGCGGCACGTTTCATTCAGGGCCCGGGCGGCGATGATTGGCGGAAAGAGAGGCAAGCGAGATGGAGGAGCCAGCGAGCCTGCTGTTTCACGGCTAGCGAGGGGACAGGCGGGGCGGGCATCCGGCGAGAGGGACTCCGCGTGGCCGCGAAGGGTTTAGCGAGGGGATGCGTGCACGTCGGTCCTCAGTGCCGCCCCACACCAGTCACCTCTACCCTCTCGCCACTGCTCCACAGCCCGCGCGACCATGACCTCAACCCAGCCACGGAGCGCCCTTGGCGGCTGCGCCCTCCCCGGCCTGCCGGCTCGTATACAGAGGGGCGCCGGCCAACGCATCACGCGCGGCCCCAATCTCAGCCGGGCCAGAACAGGACGCGCTCCGCCCAGTCGGGCCTATCGTCTTCCAATCATGCCACAGCAGCCGGTCGGGGTGGTGAGGTCCATTTAGCCTTCTTGTGGGGTAAGGGGCGCCGCCAGCGATCCCAGCGCTGCACCCCCGCAGAATCTGAGACTTACCCGCCAGGGCCCGCCCATGCCGCACGTGTTCCTGCATTTAGCCATGGGGAGGGGGGGATATTTGAGACGTGCCCGGCAGTGATGGGCGCCGGTGTCTCCTCAAACTCAAACAGATTGCACTGCAGTCGCAGATCGTCTCCCCATCCGAGACATCACGCTGCCCATGTCACGGTGGAACATCAATAAATTGTCAACGGCTCAATTGCAACGACAGGACATGCTACCAAGCTAATAAACGCCAGCCGGATGCGAAACGATACCAAGTCGGGACACCTTCACAAAAGCCACCCATCATCCGTCTCCTGACTGCCCATCTGCCTCAATGGCAAATGCCACCACTCTCCTGATTTCCCCCCGATCAGCGCCGCCAGCCTCAAGGACAGAAGTCGTCGAACGCTTGGATCAATGACCGCCCAACATAGGCCGGAAGGGGCCTCCAGGCGGTACCGACAATTTCGCACACGTGGGTCAGGATCAACTCGGCGCGGACGAGGTCATCCCAGTCGGCGATGATGAGCCGGTGCTCCTGATACTCCGCGCTGCTCTTGTCCGGCGAGACCCAGTTGCGGTGGTTCAGGTGGTGCAAGCTCAACTTCATGTCCCGGTCCGGAGTGCCAATGCGCAACAAGACCGTCTCCGTTGCCTGCTTCATCATCAGCTGGGAGACTCGGATCATAACATCGCGGTTGATCCGCAAGAAGCCATAGATCGTGTCCTCCGAGCCCTGATTCACCGCCAAGCAGAGGCCTCTGTACGCCTCGGGGGACAGCAGGCGACGCTCCTGCAGCCTCTGGACAACCACGGCGCCAGGGGGATGCGTGGCCTCAATCTCGTTCAGCAACGCGATCGTCTTCGCTGCCACGCTCGCCGAAGCACGCTCAGCCATGGCGTCTTTGTACTTCAGCACAAACTCCCGAAGCCTTCCAGTCAGCCTGAGGCGAGCGTTCTGCCAACGATCGGCCATTGAACGGAAAGTCGATTCGTCGCAGTCGTCATAGCGGAGTTGCCATTGCAGGTGCGGCAGTGATCTCTCCAGGGACCCTGACACGGGCGCGGTTCCCAGTCGCGTCGGCATGCTTGCCAGCCTCTCGACCAGCTTGGCATAGTGGAGCACCAAGACAGTGCTGGCGCCGACAGGCCTATCGTCCCACGGCCGTTTCCTCCACTCCTTCAGGCTCGGCACCACCCACTCGCCTATCCTGACTGCCATGTCCTCCTCCCCAACCCCACCCCACTGCGGGCTGTCGGTCATCGACTTCACAATGCCGGGCAGCGTAGCCGCCAGATAGTCCATCTCAGCCGGCGTATGGTGGAGCATCACCGATCTCGAGTGCCTGCTCGCAGCATCCGTCTTCCTGCTCCACAAGGCTGCGTAGTACAAGTGCTCTGCCACGTACCCGCCATCAAAGCCCACGAGGCGCCCAAACCTGGCCAGCTTGAGAAGTCGGAGCAGGTCAAAGCTGCCAGGACTTCCACGCAAAGCCCGCAGGATGTCCCTGGCTGCGGTGCTGTGCTGCTCCAGGCCCAGTGCAGCGTCTTGAGCGGAGTCGAGTGTAAACCGCAGCTTGTGGCTCCAGTGCACCCAGCGGCCCGTGGCAGCACGCATCGCCCTTGTGCGATATGCATGCACAGACTCCTGGCTCATGTTGCCCTGGAGCCACATGGCCCGGTCTCGCCAGTGCAGGGCGCACCGAAGCAGACCCAAAAGACAACGCACACCCAATAGGGTGTTGTAGTCGTCCCGGAAGCTGAAGGGGTCAACCTCGAGGTTCTCGGCGACCACTTCGGCCTGTTCGGCGAAGTTCACGCCGTTTAGGGAGGCAGCGGTGCCGTTCATCAATGCCGGGATGATCATGGCATAGGCCTCGCGGATGCTGGCGTGCGCCGGCACAGCCTTGATGGCATCGTGATCAGCCCGCATCTGGGTCAGCCTCTGGGAGATGTGCGTAGCCAGGATGGCCGATCTGGAAAGAAGCCAGTCCTTGTAAAGGGTGGCGATGGCTCCAACACGGTTGATAGCGCTGGTGTCTCCGATCGGAACACCATGAAGGTCGTTCTGGTGCTTGAGGTTGTGGAGAGCGTTGTGGAGCGCCTCAATAGTGCGGCCGGCATAGGTGATGCTTTGGAGCATGAGCTCGTGCCATGCAGTGCCAGGGAGGTTGGGCGTCGCCGCAGGAATGACAGCAAACCGGCTCATAAGCTCCAGGTCCGCCTCGGTCCAGCAGAGCACATTCATGAGAGCCATGTGCGCTGTCGTCGGCTTCTCCAGCGCGTCCTGGATGCCCCTGAAGATCTTCTGCTCCGAGCTGTCGTCGCTGTGCTCCCCATCGTCAGCCATCTGATCGTCATCGGCGCCCTCGCCATCATCGCTTACGCTGTCCTCGTCCTCCATCATGACCTCGTTGTCATCATGATAAGACTCCCGCATCCCCTCAACAAAGTCCTGATACCACTCATCCACCTCCATCGTCACATCCTCCAACATGTCGACATTGGCATACCACGCCGCCGGCCTCGACATCATCTCCGCCTCATCACCCTCCGGGTCCGCAGCCCCCTCGCCAATCCCATCCAGCCTCTCGCAATCCCACTCGCACTGCTCCCCCCTCCTCCTCCTCTCCCGCTCCGTCCTCATCCCGCCCACCGCCCCATCCGCCCGCCGCGCCGCGCTCGCCCACCCCATCTGCTCCTCCAGCAAATCGAGCACCGCCCGCGGCGCCCCCGCATGCGCATCCCGCTTCTGCTTCAACCACACCGCGTCCCACGCCCGCAGCGGCAGCAGCGGCAAGATGTCGTCGGCAACGGCCGCATACTCGCCGCCTTGCCCACGATTAGCGGTCAGACACGCATCCAGCCGCACGGCGCAGCCGTACCCGCCGTTCAGCGCGTGCTGTTGCGTCGCCCGAGCTACTGCTCGAGCGGTGTCGCGCGCCGCGGAACGCGAGGCTGGGGTCTCAGCGGTGGTGGTACTGTTGGATGGCGCCGCCCCGACGCGGCTCAGGTCGGTGGCGGTGGGGCCGAGGGCGATGTAGGTGCGTTGGGCTTCCCAGTGGTCGAGGATCGTGGGGGTGGGCGCTGGGTCGAGGCGTGCGATGGGGAGGGGGAGTGGAAAGGGGAGTTGGGTCGGGGATGGTGAGCGCGAGGGGGCGAAACCCGGTCCGGCCGGGTTGTCGTCGGAGAGGGATACGATCGAGTCCGTGTCGCTGTGGACGGACATGTTGGCGGAGCTTTTGCTCGGGGGGCTTGTCGAGTGGAAAGTAAGTTGTTGTAGGAGTAGGAAAAGAAGATGAATCCGCCCCGAGCTCCGTGTCGATGGTGATCGGTGTCGGGGAGGGTTGTTGGGTTTGGAGGAGACGTAAGTTTTGAGGTTTATATACGACGTGGTTGGGAGCCATTGTTTCTGGACAGGATGGTGTTGTATGAGCACTATGCGGATGGAGGTTCTTGTTTTGTTACTGTTGGTGTTGAGTTGTGTTAACAATGCCTTGTTTTATTTGGAAGTGTTGGTGGCTTACATGTGCGATTGCAGTGTCTTTTTTACCGCGGTATCCATTGTCATGCCGTCTTTTGGCAACGCTTCAGTGCCGGTATTTCCTCTCTCATGCCTTATAACGTGGTCTTTAGCTGATAGTGGGAGTCAGATACCTTGTTAGAGCTGTCGGCTATTGCATATGCCGGGGGCTGACAACCGGGTTCAAGCTGATCTGGGGAAGAAAGTCAGGGACGTTGTCGGAGCCATCAGAGCCGAACACGTCGGGCAGGGCGCGCATCAGGAGGTGAATGAAGACATCACGACTGAGAAGCGTTAGCTCGGCGGGAGTCACGAGCGCATGGCCCTCGTCCGGCTTGAGATCATCGTCGCGGAGTGGGCCATCTTCTTGGTTGCGCTTGATGAGCGTCTCAAATAGTTGGTGGGTAACCGGACGGGATCCGGCTGAGTCCAATCGGTAGAAGTACGCCATGATTGTCGCATGCGTCCATTCGGCAGAGGACGTCGACAGCTTCTGGTGCTCACTCCGGGGATCATGGACGGGACTACATATATCTTCGCTATGGAAGCAACGGTCAGCGGGGCACAAGGGCAGCAGCGCTTAGACGAGTAGGACGTACTGTTGACTTATCTAGCGAGGCCGCGGTCTGATGTCTATGTCATGCGATCTGTGCCGCGGCTGACCCTCTACCAGAGGACTTCAAGCATTATGAAGTGAATGTGGAATGCGTGGCTCGCCGAATAAGCCATGGACGTCCTATCAAGTTCAGGTTGAATTGCTCGTTGCCTAGCGCATTTTGATATTCTTGCAGCGGTCGGTAAATTCGGCCGACACTCCGTATGATATAACTGGTGTCGGGCGCAAGGCTTAACCACGACGAGTACGGTGTAGGCGCGGTGAAGGCTCATTTCGAATGAGACCGGTAGGACGATATAGAGGCGGTCTGGGTCCACTATCGCCTTTTCGCCTAGAATTCCTGAGTAGTGGCTGGCCGAATCCACTTACGGACGTCCTCAATGACGTTGAGGTCGTCCCATCGACGTCCTCCATTTAGAGCATCTGATACTAGTCCAAGCCCATCAAGACGGACTGCCGCCGGGAATCTGTACGGGATGCGGCCGTACATGTTAGGATGTCCGGATGCCGTAAGCGGCGGAGCCTCCAGGGCTCCATGGGCCTTGTCATTATGTTGAACGAGTGACTGCCAGGCTCTCTCAGGCATTTTCCGCGTTCTTCGGTGTTGTTGAGGATACTTCATGACGTGGGAAAGCTGCATGTAAGAATGGAAGAACTATATCGTTGTATGGTTCCGGCCAAAACCTGGGGAGTCTTGGTGTGATAGCTGACATCAGACTTCAAGCTTGGATAATCGAGAGGTTGGGCATGTAGGATTTTCTCTCCGCTATATATGTTGTCGCTGCTTACGGTTATCTCCGTGGTCGGGGTGAAGTTGCGGCATATCATGCGCTGTACCGTGATTGTTTTGAAAGGAATCACCACGGTTTGCTTCAAAGCTTTGGCATGTGCGGCTGCCGTGCCACAGTTTGATAAGCTTACGACCACCTCGGCCATTTTCTAGCATTGAGCCAGAATTACAAAGGAACTACGAGATGTGACGGCAACAATGTCAGGTGCTATACGAAGCGAAGTATCAGAGTGGTGGCCTCTGATTTTCTTTCGCTCCCTGCGCGGTCTCCAGTCACAAGCGGTCTCAGATATCGCCACACAGTGATCATCTTGCTGAGCTGAGCTCTTTAGTGAGTTTGTTTCACCTGTTGCACCGCAGGCCCAACATGGAGTGCCGCGAAAGGCAAGACCTGCGCGCGTGTGATGACGCTCCAGCGGTGCAAGTAGTGACAGTGATGTCATGCTCCTCACCGTTCCATTCTGCGCCATCACCAAAGCTTCCTTTACCTTCCACCGCTTCCTCTTCGGGCCTAGCGGGGTGGTTGCCAGGCCAGTGCCCCGGCGGCCGATCAGCTGCCGCCGGATCAATGGCCTCCGTCCGCCGTCCCTTATAAACCCCTCCCTTCGGCCCAGCTCCATCTCTTCTTCTTCTCTTCATCACGCTCTCTTTGCCTTTTGGCTTTGATCAAGTGCAGTGGCTGTTCTTTTCAGTTTAATCTCTGAAACGCCCCTACGGGAGCATTTTTCTTGATTAATCTAGTTTTTGGAACCGGGCCGGCGGCCGCTGAGCTTCGCTTATGTTGCTGGTCACAGTGTCGCCTCTATTGCACTGTCTGAGGCTGATGCGAACTTTTATTCTTTTCGTCAATCCACTGGCCTTGCGCTGGTGACTGAGGAAGAGATGGGCGGATCCGACTTGGTGGTGAGGTCGTGCTGCCATGGGCTCGCTGCTGCTACGGCGCGTCGCGCTCACTTGCCTTGGGTGTTGCGCTGGCCTCTACTACGATCACCAGCGCTTCGAGTTTAGACGGCGGTCGCGATGGTGGCGAGCTCTTCATGGAGCGCGTTCGCTGTATGGACCTGGCTGCGCTTGCGCTGCGTCGCCACCCGCATCTGATCCAGATCACCCAGGACAGCACTGAAGGCAAATGCCTGTCGAGACCAAGGCGGTGCCGAATTTGCGTGGTTTTTGCGATCGTTCCTCCTTTTGCCGTTGGCGTTTCCCTGTATTTTGTGCTCAGAGTGACAGTTCCAACAACAGTTGAGCGAAAAGTCGCATCGCGAGACGGCGCATACACGCTGCCGGCAAGGAGGTACATTACATAACCACGGACGCGCCATACCAAGCTCACTGAGCGACGAGCTTCTTGGCCAGGCGCTCTAACTGTTCTTGCGGTCATCCCAAGAGACGCGTTGCGCTCACCACGCGGATGCCGCACGCTACTGGCCCGCCAGCTTTCCCGCTCAGCACTTTCCCACAACATCTTCATGTCGACTCGACAAACGGAGCCAGACCCCAATCTCATTCCATCCTCAGTCTCATCGCCAGGCACTACAGTATGTCCTTATAGCCTCGCAGGAAGCGCTCCTGTCGATGTGATTCGAATGCGACTATCGCCCGGCACGAGGCAGGAAAAGCACCACTGCCCTGGCTCAATCTTTATAGGAAACGCTAAGGCTTCGCAGAGACACCCGGACAAAGCTTCTGCCCTGCCCACTTTCGAGTCTCTCCACATATCTGCCTACCAGCAGATGAGCCTGAGTGCAGCGGCGCCGACCCTTCCACACCGCGCAATGTCTTACCAATCTCCCACCTCTTCTCCAGCCTAAAGTACATACAATTGGAGGGATATACAAACCCTGCCTTGATCAGATACTGGAACTAATACTCGCGATAGTGTCCCAGGACCACAAAGCAAAGATGACACCGTCCGCCCCTGGTCGCTCGCCGACTTCCTGTACGCAGTCAGCCATGCGCATCCCGTCCAGTCACAGCCAGGCGCCCAGGTCTACTGTACGGAGTTACAAAGAAAACGCATCGGGTCGACATGGTCATCATTGGCAGCGCATGGGTTGAGCGCGCCGGTCACTCTTGGCCAGGGCTGGCGCCAGTTTCCGGAAATGCACGTATGGTCACATCGACAGGTTGAGAAAGCTGAGTGGGCGTTGGTGCCATGAAACACAACAAGGGATAAGTCGAGATTCATTGTTCTTGCTCATCTGATTCCCCAAAGGCCCTCCTTCCGCCGTCACAGCGCTTAGAACAAAGAGCTGCGAAGTACCTTGAGTGTAAGCCCTTCGCACTTGGTCCACTCCCCGCTTTCAGGCGATGACTCACGTATTGGATAGTAGATGGAAGTATTTGGGCTCCAAGCACAGCTTTGAGAGACCTATGCGGGTCTTCTACTGATATGTTTCGTAGCTTACCTCGTTGAACGCCCCCGGCTTTCACCTGCCTCAATCGGTCTCTCTCCTCCCTCCCATCTCTCGAACTCCGCAACCACCGCTGGCGTTGACGCTTCTTCCCGCACTATGCCATTGTACCTTCAAAGCGAGTATTCTGGCCGATGCGTTGTTTGCAAAGGCCGAGGAGCGCTCCTGCGACCTTACCCTTGTCATCGACATACAGGCCACCATCCATTATGGAACATCGAGCGGTTGCAACCTCAATGTAGGACCGTTGGAGTCTCCAATGGCAATCTGGAGACATCAGAAGCTACTGAACGGACTACCAGAATGAAGTGACTGGAGGAAAGCTTCGACGAGGAACAAGGTAGCCAATTTCCTTCGACACGGCCGCGGACAAAGAAGAGTAGCGGCTATATCTTACACCATAAAGAGGACAGTAACTGGAACTACAAAGGCTGACCTTCACGCCACACATAGTACGTCGTCCTCGTTCAGTCCCGCCAATTGCATACTTGAATTTCGCAAGTACCTTTGTTTCCTCATATCAAAAGAATCCGCGGCCAGATCGCTTGTATCATCTGGGTTGGAGGTAGATATCTGCACATCTGCTACCGACTTTTCGGCCTTCCGCATCGTGGAGTCCGAATCAACGAGTCGGACTGCCTTGAATGTCTTGGCTGCAACCGGCTCCACCACATGTTTCATGAATGGGCTGACATTGCTCAGAACATTGGAATCAGATTCACCGCCAGCGCGCCAATGTCATTCAGATCCGGAGTTGCATCCATTCGGCGATTGGAGCTCGTGCCTACGTACACACCGAGTCAGCACTGTCCATCTCCAAGAAACCATCGACAGAGCCCAAAGGGCAGAACACAGCAAACACCCCACATAAATTGCAACCTGATCACAAAACTCCGACATACCACATTGCCTCATCATATCATTGGCTTAACTCGTCTCCGCCCTCCGGCGTCCCCTCCACTCTCGCTATGTCGTCGATGTTCCCCCGGCCGATGTTCTCGCATCGCCCCCGCCTGCAAGGTAGACCGCGTGCCTCGACACCTGTAAAATCCACACCCTGCTACCTATCCGTGTTGCGAGGTAGCAATATCGTTAGCGGAAAGTTCGCTACGTGGTTCTCCGCGAGCTTTATTACCAATTTCGTTCCATCATTGGCGTCCGTGTATGGCCGCTGGCCGTCCATCAGGATGATGACGGCGGCGTTGAGGATGAGGGAGGCAATTGGGAGACGATGCTGGCTGACGACTCAGCCTTTGATAGAGGCCGAGAATTCGGGGTGGAGCTTGAGAAGAATAGCAGCCATGAACACGATTACAGATTTGCTACGTGGTCTAAGTAGATGCCAGCGACAGCTTAGATAACCACCAAAGTTTCTACTGGAGACAGGCTCTACCAATGTCCAGGCCCGTGGGCAATCGCGATTAATTTTATAGTAGACTTTTCGATAGCTGTAAATGCTATATTTTCATGACCCGCTATCCTTCGTCTAATCGTCTGCTATTTCTCCCCAGACGATGCAAGAAAGTTACTCCAAGGCACACGGACTAGATTCGACGTCCGACAGAGTTCCATCAGGGTAAGTATCTGTGATTGATGTCGTAGCCTTGACAAGAAAACATATGTCTGTTCGTTACAATGGGCGTTAATTATTTCGGGTTTCGCAATGATGACTTCGCAGCTGAAGTATGAGTTGGGGTTATTCTGAGGCGGCCAATATCAGTCTCTCGGGCTTGGAGCTGAGCTTTCATATTTTGAGTACGAGTTTGTATGTATAAGTCACAAATACCAGCACTCGAGGTGTTGAAGCTGGCATGATGCTCCCCATGAAAGATGAACCTAATCATTTCCGTTCTTTGCTCCTGCTAAATCTTAACGTTCATTACAGGTCGCCCGTTGATCTGGTCCCGTGAAAGAGTGTGTACAAGGCTATCGTCATGCTTTGTCTCGTCGCCATGAAAGACAGCTCCTGATCGTTGAACAAAGATCCGTCGCGAACAATACATTGTACATCACAAAGTCAGCTCCGCCCTAAAAATAGAAGCACGACACAAACTCTGCATATAACGCTCGGCGATTCTGCCCCGTCCAAACTCAAATCAGACAACCCAAACCGCAACACTCGAACCCCAAAAGGTAAAGAAAAAAAGAGCGATACCCCCCACCAACATCACCACCACCAAGTAAGTATCCCCCCACCCTCTTCCCCACGCACACCAAAAAACAGGAAAAAAAAAACCCTCATCATGTCCACCAAAACCCTCCGCCGCACCCCCAACTTCCCCGAGACCCGCAAGTCCACCCCGTCCTCCACCTCTTCCAGCTCCACCATCAAAGCGCCGTCCGCCGTCCCCGCGCCCCTCTCCGTCAACAAAGCCCAGCCGGCGTCCGCCAGCGCCGTCCGCACCACGAAGCGCCTGAACATCGAGGAGCAGATGATCCGCGCCAAGACCAAGGGCGGCATCCTCGAGGCGGCGGAGCAGGCGGCCAAGAGCTTGATCCCCCCGTCGCCGGGGCCGGCGCCCAGGGGGCCGCTGCCGGCGGTGCCGAGGAGGAGGTAGGTAGGTAAAGTGGATGCGGGAATGGATCTGGGTGGGTGGCACGCGGTTGAGGGGATGGAGCTTGGGTGAAGTGGATGTATGGGAGGTGAGAGGTGAGGTGGGTTGGAGTTGGAGTCGAGGAGGTCGGGGAAGGTAAGTGAGAGGTAAGTTAGAGAATGGATCGATCGTACTTGCATATTTGCAATTGTAAGGAAGAGAGAGGAGTGTGATGCGAAAGACTGAAAGTAGAGCCAATTGTATTATCTTGATCGACGTCTATCCTGGATGAAACGCTGTGATGGTCATGTCGCTGCTAGGTGAGTTGTCTTGTACCTCTCCACTTACAGCTGAAATGCAAAGGGAGAGACAGAGGGAGACTTTCTATGAAAGTTTGTGAGAAATTTGCGGAGAACTGAAAGTGTTCCCCATTTGGCACAGAACGACAAATCATAAAGAGTGCACAAGAAAAAAAAAAAAATAACTGCATGCAGGTCCGGGGCGGCACGTCCCGGCTTGCTGGAGAGCAATCGAAACGCCGAAGATAAGGACTGACGAGGCACCAAGCTACAGTGGTAGCTTTCACCCGTCATCTAGAAACGTACGGATGAAAAGATCCAAGGCCGAGAAGATGTGGATCATCTCCGACTGCAAGAAACCAGTATAGCGGCCCCGTTATAAGAGCCACCGGTCGGGGACTTTGCATTGCGTCAGATTTTTCGGCCCCAGCACACGGTGGAGAGTCGTGCGATCGAGGCGGTATGGTTCATGTAGAAGCAAAAGAACGGGTGACGTCGGGTAGTTATCAGGCGAGCGAGCCGGACTCGACGCGTCGCGTCCCTCGGCGCGTCGACTCGAGTTGGCCTTAACGCCCCACCTCTGCCACCTCTGTCACCTTTGCCACCTCTTCCTCCTCACCACCTCTCGCTCCAATTGCCATCCAACATTGTTTCTTCGCCGTCATGGCGGCGCCGCAGTGCCAGGCGCTGCACCTGTCCGACGAGACGCGCTGCACCGCGCCCGCCACCAACGCCAACGGCCTGTTCTGTCACTTCCACTCGCGCCAGGTCTACGGCCTCTACAAGGGCTACAAGCGCCGCAATGCCGCCCTGGACCACCTCGCCGCCCATCCGCCGCCCTTTCTCGCCGCCCAAGAAGCCGCATCGATCCCGCTCACCCGCATCAACTTCTCGTCCGTGTCGTCCGAAGACGAGCTGCGCGCCCTGCACGACCACCTCTTCGAGCGCCACGCCCTGCTCGACCGCGTCATCCGCGCCCGCAAGCTGCACCACTCGCGCTTCTACGCCCTGACCCTCGACTACGGCCACCAGCGCTACCTCGACGCCCTGGCCTCGCAGAAACACGCCGTGCTGCGCGCCCTCGAGCGCCTCGAGCGCCGCACCGCCGACGTGCTATACGAGAAGCAGAAGTGGTTCAAGTGGGTGCGCCAGCTCGAGGACGAGGAGGAGATGCAGCGCGACCAGGAGAAGAAGAAGGTCAAGCAGGAGGCCCAGCTGCTGAAGCGCCACTGGAAGGAGCTCGAGGCCCGCATGCGCGAGCTGCGCGTGCGTGAGGAGCGCCGCAGGCAGGACGAGTACCTGGACAAGGCCTGGGAGGAGCGCGCCAAGGCAGACGCCGACGACGCCGATGACGAGGACTGGGATCCCATCGAGGACTCGGTCGAGGACGAGCGCGGCAACTACATCGACCTGCTGCGTCTCTTCCTGTGGCAGGAGACGGCCCGCGACGCGCTGAAGGCCGAAGACCAGCCAGAGACAAAGCCGGCCGAGGCCGAAGCCAAGCCCGAAGCCGAGCCCGTCGAGAAGGCTGCCGATGCGCCCAAGAGCAAGGCCGCAAAGAAGCGGGCGAGGCAGAAGGCTGCCAAGGCCAACGACCCCCCGCAAGAGCTGCCCAAGCCTGGCGAGGTCCACGTCGAGAACAGAGCTGACGTGCGCCGCCGGCTCCGCGAGGGCCAGAAGATGGAGCGCGGGCCCGGCTGGAAGCTGCGTGGCACTGTCGAGAACCCTGCTGCCATCGAGGACCGCATGCCGCCCGTGCCCGACAGCGAGATTGACGTGCTGCTCTCCCAGATCACCGAGGTCAAGCAGCTCCTCTTCTGCCGCCTCGTGCTTGGCCATGCCGCCCTTCTCCCAATCGCCCTCCGCTCCAACACCATCGACGAGTTCCTTGCTGACCCCGGAGTTACCAACGTCGACCTGCGTGACCTCTGCCTCGAGATGGAACAGCCTGGATTGCAACAGCTCCGCGACGCCTGTGCCGACTTGGACCGCGGCTATGACGAAGAGGACGACAGAGAGACCGACACCAAGACAACCCGCTCACGTGGCGACCACCGTTATGCCCTGGTCCGACCCGCAATCCCGCGTATCTACCAAACCAAGCGCGAAAAGGCGCTGAAGGACGCGCGCCAGAAGACGTTCGGCGCCGAGGCAGGCACCTTTGTCGACTTTGGCGACATCGACGATCGGGGCCAGTACAACATCAGGAAAATCCGGGTCAAGGTCTGCGGCAAGTACATCTACAACTACCCGAGCGAGAAGGCCATGTCGCGCGGAGGCTGGTTGCAGTTCTCGATAATAGCGAAGGACTGTGCCCTGTTTAATGCCGTCGGCTTGTGTCGGAACTGGGACGAGTTCTTTGAGCTTAGCATCCTGGCCACCTACCAGTATTTCCCCTCCGGGAACTGGGCTGCCTGGGTCGGCGATCAGATGCGCCAACAGGTGCTTCAGCTGGTAAGCCCGTTTCCCCTTCCCCATTGACGTACACAAGCCACGATGCTAAATCCAGGCTTTTGGAAAGGGCTTTATCCCGTACTTCCAGATGGAGCTGGCTGACAGGTACACAATGCACCACCAAACCGGATCTCGCAGCCACTACGGTCGTCAGCACCAGATCATGGAGTCGCGCAACTTCATCTGCGCCTGTCTGAAGCGCAACGATCCCGTCTCACGCCGCTTCATCCAATACCTCGTCATGCAAGCCAACGCCATGGTCGCTCTGGTCCGTGATGTGAAGGACGGCAAGATCCTGGCCAAGCCGCCCGACACCGAGCTCTGGCTGGTCCGCCAAAAGTCGGGCTTGGGCCGCGCCTCTCGCAACGAGTGGAACGTGATAAAGTCAGTCGGGCCCGCCTTTTTCGAGGACATGGACAGGCAGCGCCAGTGGCACTTCAACTTCAAGGAGTACTTTGACGTCATCATCTGGGACCTCGAGCCCGGTCTTCACTTCTCCCACCTCTACAACGCCGTGCAGACGGCCCTCATCAAAGCCCACCGCTTCCGGTGCGGCCTCGATCTGTACAAGCCCTCGGAGCACATCCTGAAGACCATCACGCGCGACAAGGAGACGCAGCGCACCCGAGACATCAAGCCCGGCGAGGAGGGCAAGGTGCCAAGCATATGGTAAATCTTTCCAGCAAGCCGCATGCCAGCAGACACTGACCAGATCAACCAGGGACGACATCAACAGTGACACCAACCGAGTCAAGTTCTTCACCGACGATGCAGAAACAGCCGAGGAGCTCTCCGACGACATGCCCCGGGAGTGGAGATACAGCGAGGCGGATAGGCTCGAAGATGAGATCCTCTTCCCGTGGGAGCACAAGGCGGGCAGGCTCACAGAACTGAAGGAAAGCGGCGAAGACGGCGGAGAGAACGAAGACGAGGAGCTTCTGGCCACGCATGGAAGGATGCATGACTTTGAGAACCTTGGCCCTTCCTTGAAGCGGTTCGCATACGACCTTGACACGGACGAAGAGCTGGGCGGCGACTGCGACTCCCTCTGCGAATCCGACTGTTCGGGCATGCACGACGGCGACGAGTCGGACGTGGATTGGTACAGCGATGATTACGACTCTGAGCTTGACGACAGTGATTATGATTCTGAACTCGACGGCGAGGGTTGGGAGGATGAAGATGGGCCAGCCGACGACGATGCTGACGGCGGTAGAAACCCTATGAGCTTGACGACGACGCCTGCGAAGGACGAACTTGCAGATATTCTCGAGGGCACTTCTCCCATGAAAGCTCTGCTGGATCATCTTCAACTTGCACTCCCAGCCTCGGAGAAGGAGGAAGCGGAGAAGTTCAAAGAAGCTGCCAAAGCGTACGGTTACCCGGGTGCTTCCGACTGGGAGGAGCTGTCGAGTAACGTCCGGCAAGCCAGGCCTGCTACCCAAGCCGACTTCATGGAGATGTGTGCAGCTGTCATAGATGTGGTGATACCAGAAACCAGAGAAAAGACCGAAGAAGCTTCGGACGCTAAGGCGTTGGCGAAGAAGCCCAAGAAGGAGAAGAAGCTCACCAAGAACCAGCAGAAAGAGCAGGCCATGGAGGCATTCCGGGACGACTGGGCGATCCACATGGATCGTGAGCGCGCTGCCTGTAAGTGCCTTTCGCTGGGCCAAAGGCTGGAGTGGCTGACCCCTCGTAGGCTTCAAAGAATGCTGGCACCGGGCCGACCTCGAGCCGGGCGCCCAGGAGCGCTGGACCGAATACACGCGCCTGATGTCGGCATTCGATAAATGGGATAGCCCGGGCAGGCGGCTGCGAACAACGGCGCAGATGCTGGAGCGGGCCAGGGGTACCATAAAGCTACTCGAAGACCTAGGCATCGAAGCGAGCTGCCATCGCCGAATCAAGCGCGACATGCACCGTGCGTGGACGCTGACTTCCATGTTCTTCGGTGACGCGGCCGCCTTCTTCAACTCGGAGACGGGTTTGTCGTTCAAGAGGTCGCTGCTACTGAACCAGGAGGAGCGCGCCAAGCACCCGCCCGACGTGCGCTCGCCGCACTCGAACAAGACGCGTCCGAAGGAGCACTGGAAGGAATGGGACGGCGTGGGCAAGACCAAGGAAGGCCGCCGCAACGTCATTGAGCACTACCCGGAACACTGGAACCTGGTCGTGCGCCCGACGCTCGCCCATCTCTACCGTGAAGGCGTCATCTGCCCGTCGTATGTCCGCACCCCCAAACACCAATCCCCCACCAAAAAGACTATACTGCACAACTACCCCATTCTCATCACCGCCCCCAACAGATACTGGCCGACGGGCAACGGGCCCGCCGTCTCGCTCACCGAGCCCGACCGCCCGGGCAAGCCCGACGTCTACTTCGACTGGCGCCTCTCCATCCAGCAGATCAACCTCCCGCCGACGCTGCAGGACCCGTTCTCGCGCCCGCCGCTCCTCGACCACGCCCGAGGCTTCGCAAAAGACAACCCGGGCGCGCTCTTCACCGTCCTGCGGGTCTGGTCTGCGCCGCACTTCTTTCCGCTCATGCTCGGCCACGACAACCGCGACAACACGTCCTTCGCCGACGGCGTCGGCCGCATGTGGGAGTGGAAGTTCATCCCCAAGGACATGCCGTTCAGCGAGTGGAGCATGCACCAGAGCGCGCGCCAGCGCATCGAGCCGTACCGCGACAGCTTCTTCGGCGACAGTGTCGTGTGTCGGAAGGACATGTTCCTCGTCATGGCGAGGGACCGCAAGGAGTGCATCAGGCTGACCAGGGCGGCTGTGTGGGCGGTCAACACGAGGCCGTGGCGCCTGGAGGTGGATCCGTGGAAGAGTTGGTTTGGGGTGGGGTTGGAGTTCCTGGAAGGGTTGGAGGAAAGGTGGTGGATTTGAGGGGAGAATCGCGGTTTGATGCGGCAACTGGCCGGCTGGGAAGATTTTTTGGAGAGATGGTGATGATTTCATCTTGGTGGGGTTTTGATGTTGGATGGTTATTGGCTCCTCTTCTCGAAGTCTTGATTGAGATTCTTGGATGTCTGATATATCGCCAGCGATGTTGGATGGGACGGTCCGATCTTGTCGCTCGTTTGTATCACCACATCACTCCACTTTTCACCATTCAGATAGGTACTCGAGAAAACAAATATCTGATGGATTGAGAAAAAAAAAACCAGACATTAACTAGAATGCGAACAAAAAAAAGAGCCACCACTCCATCATCGCAACCAGCCCCTCCCGCCTCCCCCGTCTCCACCCGAGTCCAGCTCAACAGGCGGCAGCGGTGCGTCTCCCGGCACCTCATGCGGCGACCAGCACCCAGGCGCCTCGGCGACGGCGGCACCCGTGTCCTTCTGATCCTGGTCCTGACCCTGACCCCTCCCCAACTCGAGAAACGCCGCCATCGGCCAGCCTCCTCCTCCTCCACCTCCTCCGCCTCCGCCTCCGCCTCCGCCTCCGTCTCCCTCTCCTCTCAGATAGTTGCCGTCCTGACTGCCGTTTCGTGATGCTGCTCGCCGCTGCCTCACGGCTTTCAGGCCGATCCAGATGCCCAGGAAGAGGACGAGGGGTATGCCGAGGCCGAGGCTGACGCCGAGGGCGATGCGGATGATGGTTGTTGTGGAGGGGGAGGGGGAGGCGGTGGAGGAGGTTGAGGGGGATGAGGAAGAGGGGGAGGAGGAGGAGGAGGAGGGGGAAGAGGAGGAGGAGCTGGATGTGGTGGGGTTTGAGGCGGTGAGTGTGGGGGATGGGGTGATGATGGTGCTGGTTGTTCCAGCCGCCGCGGCGTTGCTCGTTGACGTGGCTGCTGTGCTGCTGGTCGGTGTGGTGGAGGAGGGCTGGGAGGTCGTGGACGGAGTGGCTGTTTGCGCGACCACGACGCTTGCAGTATTGCTGTCGTTGTCGTCGCCGTCGTCGGTGATGTTGAAGTAGTGCGATGTGAAGCCCGCCGCGCTGCCCGGGTTGATCCAGAAGAAGTAAACGGGCGAGCTGGCCGCGTCTGCGTCGTAGGTCTGGACTTTCCATTGGAACGACTTGTCGCCCTTGCTGTCACTGCCGGCTCCTGGTTTCGTGAATCGTTGTTAGTGTGTGTGGTATGGGCTTGCTGTCGTTTGCTTGGAGGCGTACTGTAGATTGTTTCGATCTGTATGCCGGAAGCGGGATCGATCTGTTGCTGGAACAGCGCGATGTAGTAGTCTTGGAGGGTGGTGGTCCATTCGATAGATTGCGTCGAACCGAGACTCCAGACTTGGTTGGCTACGAAGTTGTTCGAGGGGCCGGGCTCTGTCGGAAAGATCCAGAGGTTGTCGTCGTCGGTGGCAGCGCCAGCGCATGCCAGACTGAGTAACAAGAGGGTTAGATGAAAAGCATGCTCTGCTATCATTTTCAACGACGATAATCGAACAGAGCTTGTAGAGAGGAACTTGGCCGACCTAGTGCATACAGGGAAGAGGGGACTTATGGATGTGGTGGACACCTGTGCGGCGCGGTTCTGCAAACATGGCCCTGGAACGTCCTTTCGAGGCCATTGGGCGTCGCCATGCGAAGGATGGTAAACGCGCGATGTCGGCGGCTCTAGGCGCGCTGGAAGGAACGCGCTGGTTTTTGGTTCTGGTGATTGGGCTCGTCTACCATGTCACATGCATTCCATTGCGGCACAGTCGTCGGTACTACTGTTCCCCGGGCGGGGGAGAGGGATCTTAGGCAGCAGGTCGAGACAAATGAGGTAGGGTATCTGCAGGCAAACAAGCACAAGTGGAGCCCTACCATTGCATTGGGCGTCGGTTGTTCGTGCCGCGCCTATCTCCGCTCTCCCATTGGACGCGACAACCCACACGCTGTGCGGCGCGGTTGTTATGCACGGAGCAGAGCTTCAGCCTTCTTATTTCGCTCAAGTCCCGGATGGTCCCTGTTGGCGCGCTTCACTTCTTTAAATCGACCGACTACGCCGCACTGCAACCTCCACGACAACATGGCCTTGCACTTGTCTCACGTACGCAGCGCGTTGATCGGGGCCAGCGGCCTGGCCTTGCTCGCGCTTTTCCTGCTGTACAACTACAACGGCGGCAATGCCTCGTCGAATTTGCACCTCTCAGAGCGTCCTGTTGGCGTACCCGGCTCGAATATTCTCAACCATGCATCAAATCGAACGCTTGGTGTAAGTGAGCGCAGGCAATATGTCGCGCTGCAACTGACATGCCGCCAGTTCCAAAAGATATTCGTCATCAACCTTCCGTCCCGAACCGACTATCGGGACTCTATGGCGCTAGCTGCTGCACTGTCGGACTTGCAGATCGAGTTCGTTGATGGCGTCACCGATGTTGACGAGAAAACGCTACCGCCCGATGCCAAGAAGGTGAATCTCAACAGTGGAAGTCTGTACGCTTGGAGGGCCCATTTAAGTGCCGCCAGAATGTGAGCGCGATACCTCCATTGACATCACGGCACGCATGCACTGACCTCTGCATCAGGATCGTCGAGCAAAACCTCACTTCGGCATTGATCCTCGAAGGCGACGTCGACTGGGACATTCGCATCAAACAGCAGATGCAAGACTTTGCCAGAGCCTCGCAACTGCTCGTCCAGCCCCTCCACGGCACGACCGACCGGTTCCTCGACCCCACCCACCCCACGCCGCAAGCGGGCCAGTCTCCACAGGACTTCGAAGTCGGCGACACGGCGGCAACCGCCCAGCCCACGACCTCCCCATACGGCGACATCGACCGCTGGGACATGCTCTGGCTGGGCCACTGCGGTACGCGCTTTCCGCGTCTTAGCGACAGCAACGCACCGCTCGGCCGAGCCATCATCCGCGACGACGAGACGGTGCCGGAGAAGCAGCACATACACATGCAGTTCGGCAACGACGAGCTGGTCCAGCAGTACCCGGCCCACACGCGCGCCGTCTCCCGCGCGAGGATGAACACGTGCACGCTCGGGTACGCCCTCTCTCAGCCGGGAGCCCGCCGGCTGCTGTACGAGCTGGGCATCCGCAAGATGACGGGCACCATGGACATGATGTTCCGCTCGCTGTGCGACGGCGTCGACGGCCGGCCCATCAGTACCTGTTTTACTGTCCAGCCGCAGCTGTTTCAGCACCATCGCCCCGTCGGCGAGAAGGCGTCGTTTAGTGATATCTCGGATCATGGGACCGAGTTCAATGACCGCGCCTTCACGAGGAACATCAGGTGGAGTACGAAGCTGAATTTTCCGAAACTGGTGTATGGAGAAACGGATTATATTGATCTGTTCAAGGATGGGGAGAGTAGCCCGGACCTGGGTTTTTGATACCGGTGTGCTGGATGCCCTTTCTTTCGGTTCTTGGCGTTAATAGAAAAGATTCTTTGTTAAACAATATTAAGCCCATTAGCCAGCACTGGAAACAGTGCGGCGTCATACCTTTTCTAGTTCGACAAAGACAAACTTTAACTTTTTACTGGGATAGGAAAGAAACGCGTCCAACGCCGTGTTCAAGATGCTTCGTATACCATGGTTGGTCGACAACACTTGAAATTCTCGTCCGAGCTATGATGTAGAAGACAGTTACAGTTGTAGGCATGTGTTGAAGATTCTCCAGTTGTATACAGATCTCCTGTCTCGCGGCTTGGGTTGAGCACCGTTGCCAGCCGATCGCGGAGCGAGTTTCTCGGCAAAACACATCTTCAGCTGGACATTACGAATGATAATTACCGCTTCTGGGGCTGGCGCCGCTGTTGAGAACTGGCTGCGGGGGTATGATCGGGAGAGGGTCGAGGGCGCGGTGGGGGAGGCGGCGAGACAGTGGCGGGTGCAGGTGTGGGGGGATGAGGGGGAGACGAGGGGGTGGCTGGAGGGGTTAATGGCGGGGGTGTGGGACCGCGAGTGGGAGGGGAGGACGATGGGGTATTATGGGGGGGCGGGGAAGATTGAGGGGTGGGAGCGGGATGGGGAGAGGGTGAGGTTTTTTTGATGAGCAGGTGAGGAAGTGGAAGGAGGGGCGGGCTGGTACTGCGGCGGGGCTTTGAGCAACGGAGTTTGTGGCGGGTGGGCGGGGGATGCGTTTTTCATGTAGGATGGAATGCGTTTGGTTTTCGTAAGAGATCAATATTTTGTTCCTTCCAAATTCTATGCTGATGCGAAGAGTAAATATGCTCGATAACGAATCATGCAAGGGGATATAAACAGCCAGCGCATGCCCCCTCGATCTATCCTCCAAAACTCCGGCCAGATGCATCCGTTTAACCGTCAACGCTTCACGCCGAAGCCTCGTCGCTCTTCGGCGGCCACTTCTGCCTCCGCTCGGCCCGCACGTACAGGTTGACGGGGCGGATGAGCTGGAACATGGGATCGTACTCGACGGCATCGTCGCCGACCTTGGAGAAGTGGTAGCGGTAGACGAGCTTGGGCAGGAAGATGCGGACCTCCTGCAAGGCGAAGTTGAAGCCGATGCAGCCGCGGGGGCCGGTGGCGAAGGGCAGATATGCGCCCTTGTGGCGCGACTTGACGGCGTCGGTGTCCCAGCGGTCCGGGTCGAATTTGGCGGGGTTGTCCCACAGCTTGGGGTTGTTGTGGATATGGTGCAGGGCGGGCACGACGACGGCGCCCTGGGGGATCTTGTAGCCGCCGGGCAGAACCAGGTCGACCTTGGCGGTGCGGGCGGGCTGGAAGGACGGGTTGTGGCGGCGCTGCATCTCCTTGATGTAGTTGACCAGGAAGGGGAGGCGGTCGACCGTGTCGGCGTCCCACTGCGTGTCCTCGTCGATGCCGGCGTCGACCAGCTCCTGCAGCAGGCGGTCCTGCATGCCCGGGTAGGCGACGAGGCCGTAGAGCAGCCATGAGAGCAGCGACGAGGTTGTGGTGAAGCCGGCGCCGGTGGCGACGACGAGGGCGCCGGTGAGGTTCTTCTTGGGCAGACGCTCGCCCTTTGCGTCGACGGCACGGATGGCGTAGTCGATGACGCAGCTGGCCTTGAGCGCGGCCTCCTGCAGCTCGAGGTCTTCGGTGCCGCCGGCGGCGCACTGGGCGATGACTTCGTCCAGCATGAGCTCCATCTCGTGGCGCAGGGTGCGCAGGCGCTTGGGGTCGCCAAAGGGCAGCGCGGCGTACCAGTCGCCCATGGAGGTGACCTTCTTGTTGAGCTCCAGGGTCTCGGCGATGCACAGGACCATGCGGTGGATGGGGGCGTCGACGGCGTCGAAGTGGCCAAAGTCCATGCCCAGCACCAGCTTGCCGACGGCCTCGGAGCCCAGCTTCAGCATGTGCTGGTAGACGTTCCAGGCCTCGCCGCTGCGGTCCAGCTCGTCGAAGACGGCAAAGGCCTTCTCGACGGTGCGCTGCATGGTGGGTGCGTAGTGGCGCACGGCCTTGGGGCCGAAGGCGGGCGGCAGGAACTTGTGGGCGACGCGCCAGTCGTCGGTGTCGGTGTCGCCCAGGAAGATGCCGGCCGTGGGCTGCTTGATGCCGTACAGCGGGTGCTCCTTGGTGATCAGCTTGGTGAAGAAGTCGGACTCGGAGAAGACGATGGAGGCGAGCTCGGGGTCGTTGGTGTGGAAGGTGGTGCGGCCCATGTTGGTCGTCTTGAAGACGGGCCCGAAGTGGTCGAACAGGCGCTGGTGGTTGCCCAGGTGGTCGGGGAAGATCTCGTAGTAGTTGCCCACGAACGGTAGGCCCTTGGGCGCCGGCACCTCGCGCACCTTTTTGCCGTCGATGGCCACGGCGATGGGGCCCGGCGTGTCGACAATCTCGGACGGGGTGGCGAGACTGTGGCCCTCGGGCGCGAGGAAGTCGATGCCTGGGCCACGACGCTGTCAGAATGCACCGCGGGTGTGGGCGCGGGGAAACTCACCGGACGGGTCGACAACGGCGAACTGGCCGGCAACCGTGTGTCGGAAGCTGTCGAGGTTTTCCTGCACATCGACGTCGACGTCGATGGCGGTGGAGGCGTCTTCGCCCCACAGGTAGAACGAGTTGGACATGGCGGCGTTGGTGCAAATGGAGCTTGAACGAGCGAGACGGCTGGGCTGCCGAGGCTCGCAGTGCACTTATACGCCGGGGGTATGACGGAGGGGGGGCGGCCGGCACACGGCATGGCGAGGGGAGCGGGAGCGGGCGACGAATATCGGACGGGTGCAGTGCAGTCGGCCGAGCACTGGCGCTTGCGGGTGCTCTGGAGTGCAAGATTGCACTTTGCTGGATTGCGGGCGGCCAATGTGCGCTGGCCTATTCGGCTGATGAAGATGATGAGTGAACCGAGAGTGAACCGATAGTGAACCGACCACGGCTCGGCCCGCCAGCCAGCTTCTGGAAGCAAAAGCTTGGATGCCGCCTGCCGCAGCCAATCATGCGCCACATTTTATCTCTGTTACGTCCGTATGCGGCACACGCGTCCGCGGACGAGCCCCTTCGGCCGACCCGGGCCTGAAGATGCTGGACGGCGACCATGCTTTTTAATTGTCGAGGCATGCTAGTGCACCGAGATGGCAAAAACCCCTGTTGCGCCCGGCTGTCTATCCCTTGGGACGGCGAGAGAAAAGGCTTCGACATCCTCAGTGCCGGCAACGAGTGTCCGCACCCTTCAGCCTGCTCCTTTTCCGTCGTGACTCGAGACCATGGTGTCCGCCGCAGCAAGAACCGAGCCCGGGGCTCAGTGGAAGCCCAACGTCGAGGTGCCCGTCTACTCGCTGAAAGAGGTGGCCGCCCACTCCAAGAAGAACGACCTGTGGATCGTCGTCCACGGCAAGAGTAAGCCCCAACCCAGCCCCCTTCACACAAGAGCCGTCGCTGAGACAGCCGCTGCAGTCTACGACGTCACCAGCTACCTGCTGGACCACCCCGGCGGCGCCGAGGCCATCGAGGAGGTTGCCGGCACCGACTGCACCGCCGCCTTCGAGGACGTCGGCCACTCGGAGGATGCCCGCGAGCTCCTGCAGCCCCTGCTCGTCGGCGTGCTGAGCGACGACGAGGCCGCCGCCAACAAGCCCAAGAAGGCGGTGCGCGTCATCAGCCGTGCCCCCGCCGCGGCCCCCGTGAGCCCCGGCTCGTCGCACAACACCTCCCTCTACCTCGGCGCCCTCGCCCTCACCGCGCTGGCCGTCGCCGGGACCCGCACCGTCGACCACCCGCTGCTCCGCCGCCTGCCTTCCCTGCCGCGCCCCAGCCTGCCCGCCGCCGGGCCCAACGACTTCTGGACCGGCGTGCTGCTGACGAGCGCCGCCTTCGCCGTCGCCGGCGCCTACTCGTTCCAGCGCGCATCCAGGGCCTTCACCATCACCACCGGCTTCGGCCGCTACCCCGCGCGCTTCAAGGTGCCCTCGACCACGCCGACCCGCCAAGTCACCGGCTTCCTCGAGGCCCAGACGTACAAGAAGCTCCCCCTCGTCCGCATCGACCAGCTCTCGCCCAACACGGTCCGCTACGTCTTCTCGCTGCCCTCGCCCACCGCCGTGCTCGGCCTCCCCATCGGCCAGCACGTCACCATCCGCGGCACCCTCGCCGACGGCACCGTCGTCGCCCGCAGCTACACCCCGACCAGCAACAACAGCGACCCGGGCCGGCTCGAGCTCGTCGTCAAGCTCTACCCGGACGGCCAGCTGACGGGGCGCTACCTGGCCGGCCTCTCCGTCGGCGACGCGGTCGAGTTCCGCGGGCCCAAGGGCGCCATGCGCTACCGCCGCGGCTGGGCCTCGCGCATCGGCATGGTCGCCGGCGGCACCGGCATCACCCCCATGTACCAGCTCATCCGCGCCATCTGCGAGGACCCCCGCGACCTGACCGCCGTCAGCCTCGTCTACGCCAACCGCGCCGAGGAGGACATATTGCTGCGCGACGAGCTCGACCGCTTCGCCCGCTTGTATCCCGCAAACTTCGCCGTGCATTACATGCTCGACCGCCCCCCGGACGCGGGCTGGGCCGGCGGCAGGGGCTTCGTCACCCGCGACGTCATGGCCGACCGCCTGCCGCCGCCTGCCCCCGACGCAAAGGTCTTGCTGTGCGGCCCGCCGGGCATGGTCAAGGCGTCCAAGGCGAGCTTGAAGGATCTGGGCTTCCAGGTCCCCGGGACTGTGTGCAAGATGAGCGATCAAGTCTTTACTTTCTAAGTTGGCAGGACTGTGGAGAGGGCATTGTTTGATCTGTCGAGGACTTTGTTGATCTGCATCGGGCGGCGTATATAGTTGCTTTTTATTCCCGTTGGCGTAGGTGCCTGGGCTTTCGGACGATAGATTTAGGTTTACAGCGGCGACGATCATGCCGCGGATAGAGATGCTAGAATACCACAAGACTTCCGAACATCTGCTTGCATGAGGTGATTTCTTCTAGTACATACAAACCTGGACCGTGCAACCTCAGTCATGAACTGGAACGACCGGACATGGCCTTGCTTGTGGATCAACATACGGAGCACTTGGGCCGAGATACTCGCGAGATAATTCCGCCATCCCATTCGAGCGCGTACGCGGAAGATCCCATCAGGAGAAGGTAGAGCAACAATAGGATGGAGAAAGGCATGCAGAGGTGCGGTGGGCGTCGGAGGTATTTCGTATGACTTGAGGCAAGCCAAGGTTCCCTATGCTGACTCCCTAAAGCTTAGCAGATGACGCGCACGTGGCGGATCGGCGCCACACGGGGAATAAATACCGCCGCACTGGGTGCGTCCCTGGAGCATCTGGTCCCACACCTCGTCCGAGACTTCCACAATGCGGTCCGAACGTCGCTCTCGACCTGTCGGCCGTCCTGCCGCCGACGCGTCGGAGCAGTCGAGTACACAACTCTCTCGGCCGGAGCCAGTGTTGTGATCAAGATGAACGTCATCCCCAGCCCGTATATATCCCCCGGCCGTGGGCGACGTCAGTACGGACATACCCCAGCTCTTTTCGCAGGCTGAACTTTCCCCTTGTCACGCCATGTCGAGTTCCTGGACTCCGCCCACAAACCACACCACAAGACCCGTCGCCATCCTTGGCGGAGGTGTCCTTGGCCGCCGTATTGGTAGGTTGACGTTGCACCACGGTGGTATCGCCTTCGACTAACAGCTTCCAGCCTGTTGCTGGGCGTCGGCCGGCTACACGGTCCACATCCGAGACCCGAGTCGGCAGCAACGCGAGGCCGCAGTCAAGTTCGTCGAGGAAAACGTGTCGACCTACGCCCAAAACTTTAGCGGCTGCAAGAATGTCGGGTCCGCCGTCGGGTTCGACTCGCTCACCGACACGGTCGCCAACGCGTGGATCGTCTTCGAAGCGGTGCCGGAGAGGCTCTCCATCAAGATCGACACCTTCGCCGAGCTCGAGGCCCACGCGCCGCCCGACGCCCTCCTCTGCTCCAACTCGTCGTCGTACAAGTCCAGCGAGATGCTCGACAAGGTGTCGGATGCCACCAAGAGGCGCATACTCAACACGCATTACATGATGCCTCCCAAGAACATGGTCGTGGAGCTCATGACCGACGGCCACACGGATCCCGCCATCTTCCCTTTCCTGGTCGAGAGGCACCGGGAGGCGGGGCTCAAGCCGTACGTGGCGAGGAAGGAGTCGACGGGCTTCATCTTCAACCGGGTGTGGGCGGCCATCAAGCGCGAGTTCCTGATGATAATGGACGAGGGCGTGTCGGTGCCGCAGGAGCTGGACGAGGTGTGGGTGGAAATGTTCGGCCCCAAGACGGTGCCCTGCGACATGATGGACCGTGAGTGCACTCTCCATCCTCCTCCCAAGCTCTTTCCCTAACCGCCGCACTCACAGAGGTCGGCCTGGACACGGTCGCCTTCATCGAGCAACACTACATCAAAGAGCGGGGCCTGCCGTCGTCGCACCTGGAATACCTGCAGGAGCACTACGTGTCAAAGGGCAAGCTGGGCCGCAAGAGCAGCAAGGGCGGCTTCTACACCACCACCACCACCCCGACCACCACCCCCTCCGAACCCACCATCCTCGTCCTCGACACCGGCCTCTCCCAGCCCCTCGCCGGCGCCACCACCGTCGCCGCCGTCGCCAACCGCGGCCGCATCCTCTCCATCCAGCCCACCAGCTCCGCCTCCGGGTCCCCCGCCAGCACCGCTACCGCCACCGCCACCCCGCTCCTCGACTCCCTCGCCCTCCCCGACGGCATCGTCCTCGACCACGCCACCAACCGCATCATCTGGACGCACATGGGCGTCCCCTCCTCGCCCTCCGACGGCGCCGTCCTCGCCGCCAGCCTCGACGACCCCACCGGCAGCGTCCACGCCCTCGTCCCGCCCGGCGCCGGCATCCACACCCCCAAACAACTCGCCCTCGACCCCGTCCACCGCAAGCTCTACATCGCCGACCGCGAAGGCATGCGCGTCCACCGCTGCAACGCCGCCGACGGCAGCGGCCTCGAGACCGTCGTCGATGCCTCCACCGCCGGCGATGACGATGACGAAGAAGGACAGCAGCAGCAGCACACGCGCTGGTGCGTCGGCGTCGCGGTGGCGCCCGCGCTCGGCCGCTTCTTTTGGACGCAAAAGGGCCCAGCGAAGGGGGGGAAGGGGCGCGTCTTCAGCGCTGCGATGGCGGAGCCGCTCGCGACGAAGACGTGTTTGGTGGAGGGGTTGCCGGAGCCGATTGATTTGGTGGTGGTTGAGGACGAGGCAGAGGGGGGTCGGGCACTGTGGTGGACGGATCGCGGGGAGGTGCCGTTTGGGAATACTTTGAATCGGATGGCGTTGGATGGGGAGGGGAAGCCCGTTGGTGGTGATGGGAAGGGCGTGGGGGGTGGGAGGGTGCATGAGGTGGTTGCGCAGAACTTTGATGAGGCGATTGGGTTGGAGAGGGATGCGCGGAACGGGTGTTGGTATGTTGCGGATCTGGGCGGCACGGTGTGGAGGGTGAGGGAGGATGGCGCTAAGGAGGTCGTGTATCAGGATAAGAATTGCGCTTTTACTGGGCTGGCGCTGACTTACTAGAGGGGGTGGGTGGTGGAGAGGAGGAGGAGGTGGTGGTTCTGTTCGCGAGTCGGGTAGACGACAATTAAGTTTGCACTAACATCTTAATAAGACGTCAACCATGTTTAAGCGTCAAGCAGCCTTTGTTCTGCGAAGATGCCGCGGGCCTTCGGTTAGGCGGGTCGTCTGCCGCTGATCAAGCTTGATTATAACCATGATCCTTCGACGGGGCTGATCTGGTGTTTCACTACGCGACCGACCTTCGGAGAATCACGACATTCGCGGAATTCCAGCGAATCCAGCGTTTCCGAGTCAAGCTACATACAGCCTTCAATTTGTTTCGATTTTCAGAAGCACTACTACTACGGACGTACTTCGCGTCGTTGGGACGGCCCCTATTTTGGTACAACACTGCGTTAGCCACGGCAAACACTCGCCGCTACTCGTGCAACGGGTCGACCGGCATCGAGAACTTGCAGCGCGCCACGGCTATTTGTGGAGAGAAAGCTGCGGTGCCCCTGGCGGCAATCTATCTCCGGCTGACGGTTGCCCCATGATCCTCATGAAGCCATCGGCTCGGCTACCATCCCCAGTATTTTGGCCTAGACCGGAACCCGCCAAGCCCAATACGAACTCCACGGCGGCTGCTCCCGATCCAGACATGGCCGCCGCGCCCTCTCTCTCCCAGCGCTTGCACGGCCACCATCTTTCTGGCCTCTCGTCTATTTCGCCGTAAGCGATGAGGCCGTGCAGTGTCTCGCCCATCACAGAAACACGACGAAGGGAGGTTTCAGGAACCACCGCCAAGAGCCATCACAAGTCAAGACGGCGTGGTCAACCAGTGAAGCCCCTGGGCTCCGTCAGCTATAAGATCCCAAGCCCGTAGTCTATGGCTTCTCGATTATATCCATATCCCAACAACCATTCACTCTTTCCAAACAACCACATTCTTTATCACAACCACCAAGATGCGTGCCTCCACCGCCATCGCTCTCCTTCCCTCCCTGGCCATCGCGGCCCCCACCGCCGCCTCCCAGTTCAGCAAGAGGCTGGACACCTGGGGCGGCGCCGTCTCGCTCGGCCCCACCAAGTCGACCATCATCAACGCCGTCACCACCCTGATCCCCGGCCGTGCCCCGCCGAACCAGGTCGGCCAGCTCTTCCTGTGGCCCGGCATGAGCAACGGCACCGGCCACCTGGTGCAGACGACGCTCGAGGACTACGACAGCAACGCCTGGTGCGGCGCCACCGACGGCCAGTGGTGCATCCGCGCCTCTCTCTTCGGCAGCTTCGGCCAGCTGGACGGCCCCGCCTCGGCCATCGACGGCGACACCAAGGTGCGCATCGAGTACAACTTGATGGCCGACGGAACCACCTGGGAGCAGTGAGTCACAAACGCCTTCAGTCAGAACCAACAGCTACTGATGCCAAACCGCAGGGTCGTCACCGACGCCGACTCGGGCAAGAACCTCACCTACTTCCAGTACGACTCGGGCCCATACATGAGGGGCTACGGCACCGGTACCGAGTGCCAGAGCGACTGCACCGGCACCATCGACGAGCAAAAGTACCTCAACACCGTCATCACCCTCGCTGACGCCGACACCACTTTCGGCAGCACCGTCGGCTCGTCTCAGGGCGCTCAGTACTCGGAGCTGAAGCAGACCGAGGGTGGCAAGATCTGGACCATTGACACCATCACCATCCCCGCCATGCAGTAGGGGACCAGCCCCGAACCATCTTGTTTCAAAAGTAAACATTCAGTGCAGTGCATTGAATAACTGTAAATAAAGTCTTAACATGTATATGATATTTTTCGTACTCCTGCTCGAAGATGATGTGATCAGCTGCCAGTAACAAGTAGGCTCTCTCTAAGGGCAAATTTTAGCCATGGACGCGTCAGTACTCAGTAGCGATAGGGCCATCTTCCGCCCATGTGGTAGGTTGCTCCATATCATCTATCATCCGTGCCGTCGCAGGGTGGTTCCGCAACAGAACGGGAATGGATTTCCCCCATCGTCTACAAGTAAATTGAAATCGCAAAGCCTTGATAAACCGGGAACTGTATCTCTAGGAAGTCTAAAGCGGGCATGTGGCAAGGGTTTTACATCGGAGATCACAAAGAGGAGCAATGCACTGTTCATTATCACAGCGGAGCAAGGATTGGAAACCATGGCCTGAATTGCCCACCAATCTATCTATGTGAAGGGTCGAGTCAATTTATGGGATCTACAGGATGACGCTTTTCTAATGTAAGTCTCAGTCTCCCTCCCCCATGGCCGTGTAAGATCCAACCGGAATGAAAGCAAAGTCGAACCGCCTTAGAAGCAGATGAAGAAGACAACACTGGCAAGCAGCAAACCACCCGTCAAATGGCTGAGCAGAGCGCCTGATCGCGTCGCAGCTGCAGCTCCCTTCTTCACCCCAGCCGGTTCCTTGGCGGTCGTGTCGTTTAGCTTGGTTTGACCGTCGGAACTCGCATTGGCCGGAGTAGAGGAGTCGTTGATCCAGTTAAGGATGTCGATCGCCAGGGACAGGAACTTGGTCCCCTCGGTGAAAGCATAGCACCGCTTATCAGGCATGAGGTATGCACCATCGGTCCAGTTGCTGTGAAGCTGAGAGTCCCTGGTCATGTTGGGAAACGTCGTGGCGTCGACTTCAACGCCAATGCGTGCCCGGTCGGTGCCACGCACCATGAGAGGGTACATGTCGGTGAAGTTGCCCGTGACCCACGACTCTTCCTTCTGGTAGCCGAAGGTGTCATTGCAAGCGGTGTCGTACTCGCTGCTCGGATAAACGTTGGTGGTGAGATCGATGTAGGGAAGACCAAGGTCGATGGCCGCCTCTGCCGCGATGCCGGCTGGAATGGAGCCCAGAACAACGTCGATGTGCACGCGGGTGCCAACTGTGATGGTCGAGTTGCCGTCCTCCGTCTGGTTGGAGCGCGACCAGAAGACGCTTGAGGAGGACTGGGCCGGATCGGGTGGCACATAAGTAAATGCACTGATGTTGTTGAAGTCCAGGTGGATGACGTGGTCACCAAACGTGGCCCAAGCTGCATTGTAGCCGACCGTGAGCGGATCCGTAAAGTTCCAGTCGATGACAAACTCTGGATGAATGACGATACCGGCCTTGCCAAATCCTGGGATGTGGATGCCGGCGGCGGGCGATGCGCCGCTCCCCTGGTTAGCAACCGCAGCGTAGAGCATCGAACCCGAATCATTGCCTTGAACACGGAACTTCAGTTCGTTGGTAAAGTCGTGAAGCGAAATGTCGAGGAAGCCCAGCTGAAGGTTACCGTCAGACATGGACCACCCTCCCTGCTTGATGTCAATCGAGCCCTTCATAGAGCAGTCATCGCACTCGACCGAGATGAGCTTGGTGGGATCGTAGCCCGGACTGTTAGGATAATTGAGGTGCTGGTCGAACATTTCGGCGGCAAAACTGTATGAGAAAGTCTCAGGCAGGTCCGTAGCGGTAGGAAGTCCACTGGTATCGGGACGTGTGGAGGTGGGCGCCGGAGAGTGAAAGCTCATGTCCGTCCCGCTATCCTTGGGCTTCGTCGCCTTACCGACCGGTTTGGCAAAGGCCTTGGAATCGGTCGGTGCGGGGAGGCTCGTAATAGCCGAGAAGCTATCGAAGCTTGTGGAGTGACCGAGATTGGTAAAGCTGGGCTCAGTAGCGTTGCGGGACATGACGGACGTCAAGTGCTCGAGAGGCTTGTCGTGAGCGGAACCGGTAATGGTAGCTGGGGTAGAGTCGTGGATTGAAGACGATTTCATATCTGTGGGGTCAGTGTCAGTGCAAAGCTTTCACTTCAAGATTCCAAACGTACCGCTGCCATGGATGTCGATGTCATGGGAAGCGGACGGGACTCCGCTAGTAGCTTGAAGCTGAGCCAAAGTGCCATCGCTGCGAGTGACGAGGTTGGATGCGTGGACAGAATCCATGAAGCATGCCAGGATGAGCAGGCCCGCGAAAAGCGGCGCAAGGTGGTGCAAGATCTTCATCGTAAGAGTGGATTCGATCGTCAAGGTTGAGTAGTGCAATAAGATTGAATCAAGTGCAGAGTTGGAGGAGTGTTGGGGAGGAAGAGGCAGATGGAGGTGGTCGGCGTATAAAAGGCTCGACCTGACCGTCATATTCTTAGCTAACACCCTTTGGGAAATGCAAGCGAAAGCTCACCCTTCTGCAGCTGTGCAGGTCTGCGAAATTTCCTGTTCCAGACGAGGCTGAATTTCCCGCCCCTCGTTGGGTAGCCACTGTGGCCCGGGGAATCCACAAGAGTAACCCGGGCGACGAGAAAAACATCACTCACGCCTACGACTAGGCATGCCCTTTGTAGCACCCTGTAGACTAAATGCTAGAGAGGCTTTCCACGACGCAGGAACACAACCCCACAGTCGACCGACCTATATCCCAGAGGCCGTTGTCTACCGGTCCAGATGCGAGCGACCGATCACTTCATGTCTATCCATTTCAACCGACCAACCCGAACCCCATAGTTCGTACGCTGGGCATGGTTCTCATGGCCTGAGAAGTGCTTGTATGCACATACAATTGATGCTCAGCCAGGCGGCGACACGTTTGGCGGAATCCAAGCGACCAATCAGAACCCCCGCACGCCGCAAGCACCCGGAGAGACTGTCGCAGCCCCAAACAGAATTTGTTGATATGAAGCACCGCCGTCTTCTAGAATCGAAAACGGTGAAGTTGTCGAGTATTCGTCAAGGCTTGGCCTTGATCGCCCGGACATGCACGTCGTTACAGGACATGGTCTTCGTTGAGCTTCCTCGCGGCAACTTCGAAAAGAACACGAAGCTACCCGACACTACAGGTCCGGTAAGGCAGAAAGTGCCAGAGCTGATCTACGAGAGGGGCCTCAACATCCTGGCCGTGCTTCGCGAGATGGAGAAACTGGAGTTCTGCTACGCGAAGATTGCTCCGAGCTGCAAAGCAGGTGTGGATGAACGAATCATGGGTATACAGCACTGGCTATCCACGTGAGGGTCTGGACTTCCATGGGTCTATGTACTCGATGAGGCGGCTAACAAGGACTAGAAAGTAAGGTTTGGATTGCCCGAGTATGAGATGGTGATGGCTCGGGGCGGCCATGCATTCATCATGACGTCACGATGCGGTGTTGATGTACGGGAGCGCCGCAAAAACACACTTTAACCCTTCCACCATCCTCTATCATCGCGACGTGCTAAACATCTTCTGTCGCTCTTGCCGGTACTTCGTCAAGATGAGGCATTCCAACCTCGTGCTCGACCCCTCGCAACCACTGCCTCCAACAAGAGATTCTGCAGCTGGTGCATCCGTACCGAAGTCTCTCCCTCCTCCGAATGAGGTCAAGGTAGCTCCACTTGGTGTTGGAGGCGAGAACGCAGCCATATACTTCGTCGGCACCGCCACCACAATTCTGGAATGGGAAGGCATCCGAATCATGACGGACCCCAACTTCCTGCACGCCGGCGACCACGTCCATCTGGGACCCGGCGTTCAAGGCACCCGGCAGACGAATCCAGCGATTGAACTGTCCCAGCTGCCCCGCATCGATGCAGTCCTGCTGTCGCACTACCATGCCGACCACTTTGACCAGGACGTCGAAGCCTCTCTGCGCCGTTCGCTGCCTATAGTCACCACGCCGCATGCAAAACGCCACCTGACCACCAAGCCTGCGAGTGAAAGCTTCACCCACGTCTTCGATCTGGACTTCTTCGACTCCATGTTCCTCGACGTCAAACGCCCTGCTGAACAAGGCCGCGTGCCCGCCATCAAGGTCACCGGCATGCCGGGGAAGCATGTCCCTCCTGGCCCTGCGGGGGCATTGAAGGCCGTCAACGAACTGCTTCAGGCGGTGCCGCCCACCAACGGCTGGATGCTCGACATCGGATACAGAAACACTGTCGAGGATGAAGCGTCATTCCAATGCGGATACCGGCAAGTTGGTATGCTCGGCGGATTGCCGCATTTGCTGATCTCCACGTAGCATCTACATCTCAGGCGACACCCTCTTGGTAGACGAACTCGAAGAAATTCCGGAGCGGTACAGGGATCAGAATATTGATCTGATGCTCATTCATTTGGGCGGCACTACGATCCCGGGGCCAAAGATGCCGCTGTTGATGGTAACCATGGACGCGAACCAAGGCATTGAGCTCATGCGATTGATCAACCCTGATATGACCATCCCCATCCACTACGAGTACGTGTCTGCGTTTTCATTTTCTTGCTGCTTCCTACTGACTGATTTTGTAGCGACTACGACGTTTTTCTCTCGCCTCTTTCCGACTTCAAGAAAGCTGTTGATGAAGCTGGTTTGAGCAACAAAGTGACGTATCTGGATCGAAAGGACCAGTTCAAATTCCTTGTAAAGCATCAGTTGTGACAAATCCAACCGACTATACTATTCTGTGCCTGTCCGGGCTGTCATGTAATGACATTATGTACACATACAGGACTTCTCCCTCTGCAACCCTATGTTCTATCGCTGCCCCACCGCTTTTGCCATGCCCATTTGTTCCGAGGACCGGGACTCCCATTTCTCAGGTGTCGTCGAGAGACTCAAACTATTTACAGATACGCCGACTTTTTCTCTTGAAGGACTTCATACAGAAAGACGGCCATGGTTTTCGAGGGATCGAATGCGTTTTAATTGAATTTGCAATCAACCAATGACTGCAGACCGGCGGACACTTTAACGTAGGAGAGGCTATGAGTACCAGCTGAACGACAACGGGGATCGAGTCAGTCCGTAGCAGGTACATATCTTTGAAATTAGCCGAGGGGTCGATCAAGCTATTCCAAGCGCTGTAACGGAGATGCTTAGGCGATAAAGCCCGGCGCTGGACGCCTGAGCTTTGCCTCTTTCTATGACGTCAAATTTCAGGCCAAGTGGGGCTGATCCGGTGGGATGGCAGGTGTTTTGCTTTAGAAATGCTGAGCCTCGGCACTGTAGGAAGCTTTGCGCCGACATATGAGCTACACTCATACGTACTGTGGAAACAAAGCATGCCTGGAAGTTCATGTGTATTCGATCTGATCAACAATGTTAGAGTTCTATCTTTTTCCGATCGTGTGCTGGCTGCCCCATCTAGATCGTTTCGCTGTGACACTCGCTTGCAGGGGTCTAGCCTATAGGGTCAACTGATCCGGAATATGACGGACGGATGTGCAACAACACAACCACTTCTGTTCGCCAAGGGAAAAAACGGCCCGCAAAAGACGGAAGATGGAAGATGGCGCTCAAACAGGGATTGAAGCCAGGAGCTGTGGTTTCTGTAGCTACTATCAAGCGGCTAGGAACGCTAGGGCTGTCGCCAAAACCCACGTCGACGAGGTTTCTCTTTCCGTTTTTGCTATAGTCTTGCCGTGTGTTCATCCAATCTGGGCAACATGATTTGGGATCTAGACAGACGGAAAATACGAGATGAACAGACAGTATACGAGACCGAAGTGTCAACTTGTGGAACGTTCCAGGGCGGTACCCGCAATTGCGGGGAAACGCTGAGATGTTGATCGGCGGGCAAGATGTGGGGCAATCACGCCGGCTGAAGGCCTGACAGCTTATGCGGCATTAAGTTATCAGATGGAAAGTTATCTGATTGGAGAGGTCCTACCTTCCCTTTCCGTGAGCAATGGAAAGTTCCTCGCCAAGGGAAAAATATCCACCGAAGTCGGCGGGCTGGGAAGGTGGAAGTCGAGTCTCGTCCGTCTATAAATACAGGCCGTATACTCTGGCTTTTCTCCAACATCAGCATCCATCACAGTTTCATTTGCAAACGAAACAACTCCCAGTCACTCGCCACCATGAAGTTCACCACCGTCACCGCTCTCCTCTTTGGTATGTTGTTTCCACTGCTCTGAGGATGCACGAGGAGAAGAACTGACATGTCCTTCTCAAGCGACTCTCACCCTCGCCAACCCTCTCGGCACGCCGACAAAGCGCGACCCCGTGCCTTGCGTCCCGGACGACCCGCTGAGCTGCACCAACATTGGAGCCGTGAAGCGGGAGCCGGAGCCGGAGCCGAAGCCCGAGGCTAAGGCGTGCGTGGTCGACGACCCTACCAGCGGCTGCTAGATCTCATTGGAGATTTCACATGACGACTGCCCTTGTCACAGGCCTGGGCGGGGGAAAGAACGGTTGAAGGAGACAGTGGCCAGTCTCGGTCCATTCACGAGGGCAAGAGATACTTGAGTTCAATGATATATCGAGCGCGATCATGTCGGGCGTGTTAAGAATTATTCAGACTCTACCAAGTCGACTCCGTTGAACATTAATCTGTTGCCAGATGGCATGTGATGTATGGGCAGTAGCCCTTTACTCCTCGTCGTACCCCGTATGTGGTGCCTCAACTTCAGTCCTGCCGATCTCTTAGCCAAAGCTGGGCTCATAACAATGACTAATGCCCATCCCTGGTGCCCAGCCAGACCTGGAAGCCCAGGTAGTAGTCCGGGAACATGGCCTGTGTGGGCATGTAGTACTTGGGCCAGCACAGGGTCAGGTGAGGCACCCAAGAGACACCAACGCAACCCGTTTCGCCGCTGCAGTGGTTCATGCAGTCATCGAAGCTGGGTAGGACAATGCTGTAAAGGTCCATGCCGGGACTGTCGTAGTTGCACTTGATGTGGTACGTGTTCGCGCGAGTCGCGTCGGTGAAAACACCACCATCCGCGGCGGGGCACACGGTGGGAGCGCGTTTGACGGCACCCCAGACGTAGGAAACGGCGACGGGAGTCGTGAGCGTTTTCTTGAGGTAGCACGAAGGAGCCACGTAGGAGACGGCCAAACACCCGCTGTGCTGGTCACAGGCCTCGAGACACTGCTCAAAAGAGGTCGTGTCGACTTCGACCATGTCGCCACCGGCATAGTCGGTTCCGCAGAGGATGTCGTATGTGCCGCCGGTCGAGATGGAGGCGGAGGCGCCGTTGCTCGTGGGGCAAGCGATGGCTGCAGTCTGAGCCGTGACGAGCTTTGCGGTCCACACGGAGGCCACCGAGACGGGATTGCTGTTGAGGACGCTCTTCTTGTAGCAGGCGCCGTACACGTAGCTGACGTCGATGCAGCCGGTGGTAGAGGCGCAGTCGTCGATACAGGCCTCGAACGAGGCAACGTGAGAAGAGCTCAAGTCGCCACCGCTGTTGTGCCGCGTTGTCAGCCCATGGCACCAGAGAAAGGGAAATCAGAAGGTCCTCTTACGCATAATCGACTCCGCATACAACCTGGAAAGCCCCCTTGGAGGTTGTGTACTGAGCTCCATTGCTCCTGTTGTTTTCACAGCTGAGCGCGGTGGAGGTGCTCGCACCGGAGACGCCGACCTTTTTCGCAGTCCACACGGCCGAGTTGGACGTGGCAGTAGTGAGGACGTTCTTCTTGTAGCATGCATTGGGCCACACGAAGGAAACGTCAACACATCCCGCCGTTGTGTCACAGTCACGGACGCAAGCCTCGAACGAGTTCACGTTGGACATTCCCATGTCTCCGCCACTGTTGGAAGTCAGCAGAAGCGTCTTGGGATTGATTTCTACTCATACGTACGCGTAGTCGGTGCTACACACGATGTTCCATTGGGAGTTCTGGGCTTGGAAGGTCAAGCCGTTGCTGGCGTTGTTGAGGCAGCTCAGAGTGGAGCTAGCGCTTGGCGTGGCAACAGGGGTCGGGGTCAGAACAACAGTCGAAGTCGCAACAGGAGCCGGGATGGCAAAGGAACGTGCGGCCAAAAGGGCCAGAAAGAGGGTGGGTTTCGAGAGAGAGGGTGCCATGTCAGCTGTGGCAACGAACGAATGAATGACTGGGCAGAGGGGTGCTGGAGGACTGTCCTGGCCTGCTACAGCGAGGGGCCTGGGAGCGCTGCTATATGCTTGGACATTGCCAGTGAGGCGGAGTGTGATATTTCCGCAAGAATACGGTCATTGAGCATAGCGACGGTGTGGCCGAGAGCCGTCTGCAGATTCGTGCCATGGCTGGCTGTAGTTTCCCGTTTTCCTACTAGTCACTCAGCCCCGCTCGGATCCTGAATAGAGTGTGAACCGTTGCGGGATAAGAACATCATTGTCGTTAGAATGGGGGGATGGCTGTAGGGCGGCGGTGATGCGGCAGTTGCCGCAGCACAAACCTCGGAGTCTGTCACTATGGGTCCTTGGCACATCTCGACGGCGGAGCGGGCGGTGCTGTGGCGATTTATTGATCCGTGGATCAGGATGTTCGAAGGTTTGAATCGAGGTCATGGTATCTCAGTCACGAGTCAGAAATGCGTTTGCATCATTCAGGTAGAATCAGTTAAATGCTGACTTGGTGTGAATTGAGCCGATGTTGAATGTTTCGAACGTGTTCATGAACGTTGTTAGTAGGTTGAGTCCGGCTCAGAGCCGGGGAGCAGCTGCTAGGAGCGCTAAGCAGGCGCTAGTTGCTCAGCCGGTATGCTTATTGCTTAGTTCCGGACCTGTTGCGGAGATTTCCAACGCCAGAGGCGCTCCTGCTCTCTGCCCTCAAAACTCCTTCCCGTATCGCCTATCGTTCTAGACCCTGCGAATGGTGGCTAAGAGGCGCGGAAGGAAGGCTTTGGCGAAGAGAGGGATTTTCCAGGCATCTGTGTTGCGGACCCATAGTCTGTCCAGAACGAACAAGACTCTAGAAAGCGAAGACATGGTACAGGACAAGAAACGACGTGGAATATACAATCGTAGAATTTGTGTCTTATCCTAGACGCTCCAATTAAAAAAAGAAAAAAAAAATTGGAGTTTTTGAAGAGAGCCGGCTTATCGTGAGCTCGCCTAAAGGATAGGGGGCTCCGGACTCGCGGGCCCGTTCGGCGGGGCCGTAATCCGGAGGGATTGAGTTTACGCCACAGCCGCCCACTCCCACCATTCCGGTCAGGAGTTTTAACCGAGATATGTGCGTCAATAATGAGAGATAGGATCGTGCATGACTATGCCCCTACCCAGGTCCTTGTCTTCGGAGCAATGGCCTGTCAATGGCCTCTACGGATGCCGCATGTCAGGACTGCTATTCAACGAAGAAGACAGACGCATCGCCGTCTTATCGAGCAGGTTGAATTACAGGCGGGGGAGGCGGCGATTCAAAAAATTTCGACCAACCGACACTATGCGTAGCCATCTCATGGTTGGGTTGGGTGTGGGCGATGCGTACCTCAGTGGAAGTGGTTTCCGGGTCACCCGAGAGCGTGTGCTTCCGTTGCGCCCATGGTCCACCTCCACATCACCTCTGGACCGGGCTCTCCAGGAAGAAGACACAAGAATAAACGTCAGAGACTCCGTTGGTGGAAGAACTGCTTGTAAGCAGACTGGCCGGCAATGATTCGGGTCAGCCTGTCGCGTCCCAATTCCCAACCCCGGTCCTTCGCGCGCTCCCGGTCACGAATTCTCTCTCCCGCCAGCTGATGGAGGGAAAGAGGCGTGGCTTGTGTTGGCAAGTGAATTCCTGACCGAAGGTTTTGTTTGGGGTGTGAGGGCCTTCGGCTCGTCCATCCGCTCCGTTGTTTAACTTCCGGCAGGATTTCCATTCGCCTCCCTCTGGAATACTCCAAGAATACTACTCTTCACACGAGCCCTTCGCTTCGGACTCGTCCCATTCCGCAATGGTTGGTACCGAGGCACTTGTTAGTAAGAGCCCTGGGCGTCCTGGGGACCCGAAGGGCTAACCAATGCAGGGCATCCTCTATCTTGGATCCCCATTCGGTCTTGCCATCCTTCAGCGCTACCCGCAGGCTCGTCCGTCGCCGGCTTAGCGGTATCATACGTCTTCACCTGGCTCCTCTCCCGCTACTCCTTCGCCACAGCCACGCGCGTCTGGGCGCTCGTCGCCTTCGCCGTGCCCGCGCTCCTCGTCTTGTCCGCCAAACCGCGGCTGCCCGTCGTGGCTGCATATGAACCACCGACACGACGCAACAACAACAACAGCCGCAGCATCAAAACCTCATTCCGCTTCGTGCCGACCAACAGCTTCCTCTCCTCCCAGCTCGGAAACGTCTTCCACACCCTCGGCCACTTCATCCCGTCCACCTACCTCCCCTCGTACGCGCGCTCCCTCTGCTTCTCCCCGGCCGCCGCCGTCACCACCTCCCTCGCGCTCGTCAACGTCGGCGGCTTCTTCGGCAACATCGCAGCCGGCGCCCTCTACAGCGACGCGCTCGACATCTCGCTCGTCGTCCTCGCCGTCAGCCTCGCCGCCGCCGCCGCCGCGAGCTTCCTGCTCTGGGGCCTCATGTCGGGCTCCGTGGCCGTCTCCCACTCGTGTACGTCTTCGCCGTCGCGTACGGCTTGACGGCGCGGGGAGTTTTGTGTCGACGTGGCCCGGCGTCGTGAGGGACGTTGCCAGGGCGGCGTCCGCGGGGCCGGATGATCAAGCAGCGGCGGGCGTGCTGGAGACGGGCCCGGCATTTGGGCTGCTGGGCGCTGGTCGCGGGATCGGTAGTATCGCGTCGGGTCCGCTGAGCGAGGCCCTGCTGGGGACGATGCTGGCGAAGGGGAGCGGCGGTGATGGCGCGTTTGGGTACGGGTTCGAGTATGGGTCGTTGATCGTGTTTGCCGGTGTGGCCATGTTGCTTGGAGGCGCGCCCGGCTTCGCGGCGAAGAAGTTGGGGTGGATGTAGAGCTGCGTCTCTGGCCCGCGGCGCCGTTTGTCGACAGGCTTGAGGTTTACGATCGCACCAGGCTGGCTGTTTTCCTGTCGGGCGACGGGTTCCGAAGCTCTTAAGACGCGCTCAGTGAAGCTTGCTCAAACTGTCTCTACCACCCACACGTCCATTGCGGACCATGTATCTACGGCCGCAAGTGTTTTCCAACTCAATGGAAATACGATCACGGGGTGAAATTCTCCAGAGCGTCGATTCGCAGGTGGTCCGGTGGGTGAAAATGTTGTCTACATCACCTTCTCAATTGGGACCCGTACATGGTTCGAAGCGAACACAAGTCGGCCCCGGCGCAGTTGATCATCCCTCCAACTGGCTACGGTGCGTGCATGGCGCACAATTAAGGTGAGACACTGCAGCGGGCCGAGAGCTTAATACGAAGGATGGCTCCATCTGCATTGTTCCGTCCACACGACATTGCGGGACTGGACTGGATGGACCTTGAAACAAGGCCGTTTGCCGAGCGAGTTGGAACATTAAAAGGCGGAATCCCGAACGACAAGGCCGTCTCTCAACGACGTCCATCCTTCGAACCGCCAAAATGACTGCGGTTCAGCTCTCGCTGCTGCTTCTCCACGCCGCGGCAGCACTCGCCCAGGATCCCATCACCTTCAAGTCAACCGGCAACCCGATCCTCGCCGATGGCTCTTACTACTCGGCCGACCCTGCGCCGCTGGTGGTGAACAACACTCTGTACATCCTCGCCGGCCACGACGAGGCACCAGCCGACGACAACTCCTTCGTCATCAACGAGTGGGAGATGTTCGTGGCCGACTCGCCCGACCCGGCTGGCGGATCAGAGTGGACGCTGCATCCAGGCTTCGCGAAGCCGCACGACATCTTCTCGTGGGCGGCAGAGGGGACGGCCTACGCCGCACAGATCGTCGAGGGCCCGGACGGCAAGTTCTACCTGTACGCGCCCGTGACCCAGGCCGACACGTCTGCCGCCGACCCCTTCGCCATCGGCGTGGCCGTGTCCTCGAGCCCGCTTGGGCCGTGGACCGACGCCCACCCGTCGGGCCCCATCTTCTCGCAGTCGGTGCCGTCGCCGGGCAACGACATCCAGAACATCGACCCCACGGTGCTCGTCGACGACGACGGCCGGGTGTACGCCTACTACGGCACCTTCGGCCAGCTGCGGGGCTACGAGCTGGCCGACGACATGGTCACCACCAAGGGCGACGTCACCACCGTCGACTCCCTCACCGGCTTCTTCGAGGCGCCGTGGCTCACCAAGCGCAACGGCACCTACTACATGCTCTACGCCGCCAACAACGCCGGGCCCGACTCGCCCTGCACCCCGACCTCGTACCACGCCTGCATCGCCTACGGCACCGCCTCGTCGCCGCTCGGCCCGTGGACCTTCCAGTCCGTCATCCTCGGCGTCGTCTCGTCGACGACGTCGCACCCGGGCGCCGTCGAGCTGGCGGGCGAGTGGTACCTCGTCTACCACACGGCCGACGCCGACGGCGGCGGCCACTTCCGCCGCAGCGTCGCCTTCGACCGCCTCACCTGGGACGACTCGGCCTCGCCCCCGGCCATCAACCGCGTCGTGCAGACCGAGCGGCCGTCCCTCGCCGACCCGGAGCCCAGCCGCAACGTCGCCCCCGGGGCCGCGGCGTCGTCGGTCAACGAGACGCCCATCCAGTACTGGGTCGAGTCCCTGCACGACGGCAAGATCCCGTCGACGCCGCTGCCGCCGGACTACTGGTCGTCGTACGCCGGCGACGCGTCCCCGGAGCTGAGCACCCTCGTCTACACGTGGAACGCGTCCATGGCGCTCAACGCCGTCCGCATGGCCTTCTTCGCCGATCAGGCCGCGGGCGCGAGCGAGGGCGTGCCGCCGCCCGCCGCCTGGCACGTCGAGTTCAAGAACGCGGCGTCGGGCGAGTGGGAGAAGGTGGCCAACTCGTCGGCGTACCCGCTGGATGTGACGGATGACCCGGAAGAGGTGCCGTTCGACGAGATCAGCACGACGAGTATCCGCGCGGTGCTGACGGCGTCGGGGAGCGGCGGTGCATTTGGCGGGGTGGGCGTGAAGGAGTGGGAGGCGTTGGCGCCGACGGCCCAGTAGTGACGAGTGCGTATGCAGGAGACGTGTATATAAAACAGAACCAGGCGCTCTTATGTAATATGATATCACATGGAGAAATCTGTTCTGTAACCGGTTCGATGGCGTTCTCACGGGCCCCAGCATGGCCGAGAGGGGAATGGCTCGATCTCGATCGAATATTGCATCCTGCCTGCCAACCTCGTCAGCTGAGTAGACGGCTCGGCCGGTTCACACGAGACTGGCAGACGACGGGAGTGCTGATGTGCATCTGGGCGACTCGGAAAACTTCACAGCGGAAGAGCAGCACTGCTGTGGTGGAGATGAAGAAGTTGTTGCACAATTGATTGCTAAGTCTGCTGCGCTTGAGTCATGGTCACACGGACAACAGGGATTCAGGGATTCGGTTTTGGAGCATGTGGAAGTCGAGACTGCAGGTCTGCGCCACTAGTACTGGGCGGGGTGAGTGAGGGTGTCTGTTCACGTACGTTGCAGGGCCACGAAACAGGATGGCACGTTCAAGCATTCAATATTCGGTCGATAAACTGTACGCACTGGCGTTTCACCCAGTCGGCAAAGTCTCCAGCCCCCCAATGCAGAATCAGGGCAAGGTTGCGGACCAGGTCCAGGGCAGAAGCACGGTGGGTGATGCGGTAGGCGCCGAGCCAGATCATGTGCGAGCCCTTGGCCGCCGGCACGTGTGCCCACAGCACGTGCGCCGGGCCTTCGCAGGTCAGCGAAAAGGTGCGCAGCTGCAGCGCGCTGTGGGCGGCAGACGGGGCTGGCTCCGACGGCGGTTTCGACAGCTCGGCGAGAATGCGCAGGGCGCAGGCGGCAGACACGGCGGCCAGGTTCTCGGCGTCGGTGATGCTGGCGCTGCTGGCGGCCTTGGCTTCGACGGTGAGGAAGGGGAAGCGCAGACCGCTGGGAGAGGCGGTGCACGGGTCTGTGATCAGAGTCACTGAGTCCTGGTGGGCGGCGCCGTGCTGCAGGTCGGCCAGTATCTCCCTCACGTCGCGGCCCCGCAAGCCTGGGCGGGTCCACGCCTGCTCGTCCTCCTTCCACGCCGCGTCGCTGTCGCTGAGGCCTATGGAGAGATCGGGGCGGGGTGTCTTTGGCTGCAGGCGCGGTGGAGCGGGCTCGAGGCGCAGGACGGGGGCGGGGGCGGGGGCGGGATCGGTACGGTGTGCGGCCAGAGCGGGGGGAGGGTGGCTCTGAGCAGGCGAGTTTGTGTGGTCGGGCGTGGGATAGCTCTGGATGCGAGGCGGCTCGTGTGTGAGGGTTGGCACGCTGCGGCGCTTCTGGGGGCTCGGGGGACCGATGTGGTGGATGTGGGTGACGGGCTTGACGGCAGTCTGCCAACCTGCGCAGCGTCGTCGTCAGCGCAGCTCAGCTCACGGCAACTGGAGTTTGACGTACTTCTCTTGGGCACGCAGCAGAGGCGGCCGGGCACGTCGCGCATCAGGGCGTGCAACGCCTGGCTCAGCAGGGCCGTCCACTCATCGCCACTCGCCGTGGGCCGGTCCAGAAGCGCCCTGGCGCCGTCGTGCAGCTCGCAGGCGGCGGCGGCGATGCGGTCCACGTCCAGGCGCGTCGGGTCGGCTGGCGGCAGCAGGCGCTGGCGGGCGTCGTCCGGGACATCCTCGTCAACGGCGATGTTCAGGCGGCGCAGGACCTGGATGCGGTATTCCTGGGAGCCCAGGTCGGCGGGGTAGGGGTCGGGCAGCGAGTCGGAGGGGTGAAGGGAGCGCGAGGCGTCGTCCTGGGAGCGGGCCGAGGCGGCTGGGTCGGCGGGGGCTTCGACGGCGGCGTCGGGCGAGGCCAGCGACCGCGGGCTCTCGGGCAGGCTCTTGAGCCAGTACGACACGCGCTCCGTCGACTTCTCTCGCAGCGGCTCCGGGCTGCCGCGCTCGCGCAACGGCGACGTCTGGCGGCGGCGCTTGGGCGCGGCCTCGTCGGCGGGCGACATGCGCTTCATCCTGCCTCGGGTGTCTTCGTCGCTGGCTGGCGGCACGCAAGCATAGTCGGAGCGGTGGCGCTGCGGTCGCGGGAGGTCGGACGGGCTCTCTCCAGCGGCGGGCAGGGCACAGCTGAATTAATACAGACTGCGTCTTTCGCCCATCGCGATGAGCCTCAACTCAGGCCCACCATCGGAATCCGTTCCGTGCGCGTGCCAGTGGTCCGACCTCTCCACCATCGCCGATGCTCTCTTTGCCTCCCTTTGCCCAACCTTCCGATCCGATCCCGCGGCCCACTTTCTCGCCTTCGTCCTCACCGTGCCTTCTCCCAAGCCCAAACCGACCGTTTGTCATCATAACCGCCCGGTAACGCGTCCGCGCTACCGCAGTTTTATACCCCAGACTCCCCAGACTCCCCCTCCTTCTGCGGAGCATGTGAAGTCGGGCCTTGAAACAATCATGGCGTCGATCCTGAATCTGCCCGCGAAGCTTTCTCGCGTAAACAAGTGCATCGAGATGGATTTGCACCAATCACAGCCCGTCCACGCCCTATTTTTTGTTATACGCAGCACGTCTTCTGTAGGCCCCACCCCGACCACGCCGTCACCCGTTCGTACTCGGCGTGTGGGGAGATCCGAACCGTGGCTAGCGTTTGCAGTCGAGCTGACATGCAGCTCGGCTCCCCAGATATAATAAACAGGGACGCGCCCTGACGTGCTGCCCTGCATGTGTCTCCTCGTTCCGTCTCTGTGCATGAAACAATAATGGCCGACTCTTCTGCAAACCTCAAGGTGCTCGTCGTCGGGGCAGGCATCGGCGGCCTCTCCGCTGCCATCGCTCTCCGCCAGCAGGGCCACCACGTCGAGGTTTGCCAAGCCGGGATGCCTACCACTCGTTGACCCTCAGCTGACCCCGCTTCCGCTCAGGTCTTCGAGAAGTCCCGCCTGGCCAGCGAAGTGGGCGCAGCCGTCCACTGCGCCCCAAACTGCACCGCCCTGCTCAACCGCATGGGAATCTACCCGGACACTTTCGGCGCAACTGTGAACGAGAGCGTCAGTCCGGCCCATCTGCCCGCTGTCCACCCTCTGCGCTCACACATGCTCTACGCAGATTAACTTCCGGGATAAGGATGCCGTTTCCCGCTTTAGCAAAGCTTACGCCGACGAGCGGAGGCACTGGCAGGCCGTGAGAGCAACCCGCCACGCTCCGGGAAGCACCTTGCTAAAATCCGCCAGGAATATTATCTCGTCCACCGCGTCGACCTGCACACCGCGCTCAAGGACAAAGCACTCTCACAGGACGGCCCGGGCACGCCTGCCACCCTGCACACCGCATGCGCCGTGACCGACGTCGACTGCGACTCGGCCACCATCACCTTCGCCGACGGCACCACCGCCACCGGAGACGTCGTCGTCGCCGCAGACGGCATCCACTCCCGAGCCCGCAGTGCTGTAGTCGGCCGCGAAGTCCCGCTCTTCACCTCGGGCAAGTGCGGCTACCGCTGGCTGACCCCCACCCAGGCTCTGCTGGAGGATGAGGAGACCCAGATCTTTGCCCAGGAGCCAGGCCAGGTCGTCCAGGTGGGTGGCGAGGGCAGCAATGGCGACTTTCGGCGTATCGTCTTCTATCCATGCTCCAACGGCAAAATCATGAACGCCATCGCTTTCGTGCCTACGCCAGAGGTGGGTCCCATCCAGAAAGGTAGTCCATGCAACCCCTCACGACCCACGACTCCTCATCTTCTAACCGTGCTTGCATGCCAGGTCTGTCGGGATACAACCAGTCGGCCAACAGAGGCAAGCTGATCCAGCACTTCGACGGCTTCTCCTCGCCCGTCATGCACATGCTGGAGAAAGCCCCCGCCGAGGACGTGATGCTCTGGGACTTGCTCGACATGGAGGTCCTGCCCACCTTCATACGCGGCCGCGCTGTTCTTCTCGGAGACGCCGCACACCCTTTCCTTCCATGTGAGAAACCCCCGTCCCATCAAAATCTGCACATGCTCACGACAGCCACAGACATGGGCCAGGGCGCCGCCCAAGCCGTCGAAGACGCTGCTGCTCTGGGCGCCTGTCTTCCTGCTGGCACCCCGGCCGAAGAAGTCCCCCAGAGACTGCGCGTCTGGGAGCAGTGCCGAAAGGAGCGGGCGGATTGGGTTCAGGAAGTAACCAGGGTTCGAGGCAGGGATCCCAATGGGAAACAAGGTCCACCCCAGACTCGTAAGTGCCCTCACAATCCCTGCTGCGTGGTAGCTAACGAAATGCAGCCGAAGCCTTCGCTGACGCACTCGAGCGTTGCGTCTCTCACAATGCTTGGGATCACGCCATGAGTGTCATGAACTCTTTGGCCGAAGGGCGAAACGATGAAAGGATAGCAGCTTCGCTTTGAAATCCGAGCATTTGCTGGTGTATTCTTTGAGCGTCTCATCTTTTACTTCTAGTTCCCACCGCTGTGGTCTTGCAGACTTTCAGCGTCATCGAACTCAAGTATTCTTTTTCCATGGGAAAGTTGAGGATGGACATCTTGCCGGTCAGTATGTAGGCTTCCACGCCGAATGGGAGATGCCGCCATTGGCGTTTCCGGACATTATTAGTTGTAGTGGGCAACATCTCCAACCGTAGTGCTTCAACTGCATGTGAAAAATCTCACCACATTCACTCATGGCACTACCAACCAAGGATGGTCCCTCCGAACGAAGCTGATCCTACTACTAGATCCCAGAATATTGATATTCACCCTTTCCCTTCCTTCAGTCAACTCTTTTACTCTTTCTCGCAGGTGAGTGAGAAACCACGCACAAATTATACAATCAGCGCCGTTACTGTTAATGGCTCCGGTCGTACCCTAAAGAATCAACTGTGGCCTTTTAGACCCACATATGAACTGTTGAACCCGTTTACAGCACCACCAATCCCCTTACTATGAGAAAACATTCCCGGTATGCTTGTTGCAAGAAGAAGCGGCCAGACAAATGGAACACAACCCGGCCGTAGCCTCTGTTGGAACTGGTCAACGATTTCCAGTGGTCGATCCCGCACACCTGCGAACGAAATAAGTTTTAAGGCAATGCACGCTTTAAGGCAATGCACACTTCAAGGCAACAATGCACAGAGTATGCGGTCTTCGGCACCTCCGAACAGGGGTGAAGGCCGCTCGACGGGCGCGGCTGTTCCCATTGGCTGTGTAACTGGTCATTGGGTCCTACTACCCCACGCTGGTGGTACGCTCGCTGTTTGCGGGGATCTCCACCGCCAGCAATGCTCTCAGCTCGCTGCAAGTAACGCGGGGAGCCCCCTACGGCTCACAAGGATAAGAGCCACTACAGTAGTAGTACTGTTACGCAAGCCAACAGAACGGCAAGCAATAATTCTTGGTCAACTTGACTCATAGCCCGACAGTCGCCGGATGCCGCTTTCAGCAATCCTTCTTTTTTGTAGGAAACCATTGAGACTTCGAAAGACCAGCCAGTGCCTATATAATATGACCTAGGCTCTACGAGATATCAGAACAACAGCTTCGCAACATAATTTCGTTCCTATCGACCTGACTGCCGATTGTTCTTCACGGCCAACACGAATACAACATGACTTCCATTCCCACTGCCTCGGATGAGAACGTTGGCATCCAGCGAGTTCGCGCCCGGTCGCCTCAGGACGACCCCATGTCCGGGAAGAAACTTCAACCCGAGGGCGATCGTATAACGGTCCAACCCGATCCACAATGCAACCCTAGACCTTCCACCAATCCTCCTCACCGGTACTGTTGAAGTATCTTGTACTCTATGATGTCATATCACGGGTTCAATCTTCACTGCAGAGGATGTATATATCTTCAGCTGCCCCCCAGTCAGTTCAATAAGCAATCATCACTCTCATTTCTTCCGTATCACGTCACGTGATTCCATGGACTTCAGCAGGTACAGCCCGATAATCATTCTACTCCAAGGCTGGCTTGACCTTGCAGAGCCCGGTGGCCTATGCAAGGCTGTTGAGTCTGCTAAAAAGAAGGTTCCCGCATTCATGGAAAAGGTCGGTATCCACAAAGGCGACGATTTCCTCAAGTTCGCCAACGACCTCCTCAAATGGATCCCGCACGAGGATTTCAAGGGCAAGAATATCTACCAGATCCTTGCGCTGTTCTACTTCATCCTCGACCAGCCGCCTCTCAAGAAGTGCCAGACCGAGATTCACCCCAACCAGATTGGCAAGGACCTGACATGGCTCTCATCCTGGATTGTTGTCTATGCCCAACTCGTCGGCCTACACATGGACACACCAAATTCCCTCACACAACACTCCTTGGAGACATTCAAGAAGACGCCTTCTTACAGGTACGGGGAGGCTCTGGTGCCCAAGAGGGGCTTCCGCACTTTTAATGAGTTCTTTACCAGACGCTTGAAGCCCGGCATGCGGCCCATCAGCTCGCCCCTTGACGACACGGTCATCGTCTATCCGGCGGACTGCAGGTACGACGACTCCACGAGCCAGAACGCCTTCAACGTGCGGTCCGCGGGCGTGGTGGACATTAAAGGCATTCAATGGGCTATCAGTAGCCTGCTCCATGGAAGCAAGTACCATGAAGAGTTCCACGGCGGCATCTGGATGCACGCTTTCCTCAACACGTTCAACTACCACCGGCAGCACGCACCGGTCGCCGGCACCGTGTGCGAAGCCATCAACATCCAGGGCGCTGCATACCTTGAGGTTGACGTCAAGACCAACCCAATTCGCGAATTCTTCGCGTCCGCCGAACAGCAGCCAGAAATGGAAGACAATGCTGGCTACCAGTTCCTGCAGTCACAGGCTGTCATCATCATTGACAACCCTGTCGTAGGGAAAGTGGCTGTGCTGCCAATCGGCATGGCCCAGGTCTCGTCCGTCAGACTTTCGGTCCAAGAGGGCGACATACTTTGCAAAGGAGATGAGATCTCGACCTTCGCTTTGGGCGGCTCCGACATTATCTGCGTGTTCCAGCGCCAGGCCGGCTTGACGGTGAACGATCTCGTGCCTTCGCCAGAGGGGACATACTCCAAGTACGGGACCATTCTGGCGCGGGCGAAACCGCTGGGCAGACAGAATGGCAAAAGTCACAGCGGCACTGCTTCCAATAGCAGGGTGCAGAATGGTGAGAGCCATCACGGTAGATCTCATTCCTAGTTCCGGTGTCATTCTTGGGTAGTCAAAGTAACATGTTCAGTCAATAATAATAGTCGATTTCCTGCTCCCTTTCCCCCTATTTGTGACCTCTGGAATGGTGCTGTTGTTGCCACTTGTGTGGATTTTCTTGTGCAAAGGAAGCAGGCGGCGCAAACCGTGGCCGTTGAACTCTGATTTTGGATCACACTCGGGCTATTCACCTCGAGTTTGCGTCTTTCCAACCTTGCTGTCGTACTCAACCAGCAGCCTTTCAACTTCTCTATGGCCATTTCGCCTCGCCCAAAATAAACCAGTTTCGTTGTACCTGTCTTTGGCGTGAGGCTCGATGCCTGGTTCCCTAAGCAACCTTTCGACGGCTTTTACATGGCCATGCTCTGCCGCCTCGTATATCGGTGACCGCCCATGCTTCGTATCCTTCACCTTATGATTCACTTTTCCAGTGTCCAACAGTCGCTCGAGGATACTTTGCCTGCCCCAACTTGCCGCATACCAGAGAGCCGCGCGGTTCTTTTCATCTTTGGCGTCTACGTCGATTTCCTCAGTATCGAGGAGTTCATGAGCGAGTTCCTCGTGGCCTCCTCTTGTTGCCAGCCGTAGTAGGTCCTCGACAGTCCATAGTGGCTTTTTTCGAGATACCAAAGCTGGGATGATACACTGCAGGCTGTCTTCGCGAGTCCCCAGGCCACTCCGTTCAAACGATTCCTGGATCTGAGCAAAGTTGGTGTTGATTATCCGGAAGTGTCTGACGTGCTCCGCAACTTGCGTCCGTCCGCCAACTCCTTTGATGATATTCGTCATCGCCAAAAAGAAAAACGAGTAGATCTCTTGGACGCAAAGCATTGCGGGGCTGGATGAAGATGGAAGTTCGCAGAAAGCTGGTTCTTTATCCAGTGACACGCCACAGTTGAACAGTCCAAACAGCCGGCGCCAATTGGTCCCGTCTACTGCTAGATCACGGGACGCGTGTGGCGAGTTCTGGTTCTGAGTGACTCCACTCTCCCTTTTTAGATTCCCTCGAATAGGCGTTACGGCTGTCCCCCAAAATTCCATAAGCCTCAGGGTGCTCCGTGCAGGCAAGAACAGACGTCGAAATGGCTTCTCTAGATTGCAGAGTTGCTCATCATCTTCATGGTTTTCCTGTTTGTGGGAACTTTCCAAGCCCAGATTCCAAAGCCACAGGCTCACAATAGCTTCAAGGCTGGACCGATCTATCTGCCATCCACTAGTGTAGCCACTGAAGCCCGCCTTCCTCTTCAGCGTGAGGTAAAATTGGTGTTGAAATCCATACACGCAAGGGACGGGCCAGGAGATAATGGATGCCTCGCTCCATTCATCCTTAAGCTCGAAGTCGGCGGTGAAAAGAATTTCTGTCGTGGATTCGATGGGCTGTGCGAGATTCCGAGCCATATGCCGGCCAGCAACGTGTTCATCTCTCCATGAGCGAGTGAGGTGTGCTAGACGTGCTCTGTAGAGGACTGCGAGTACGAGGTGGGGCAGTTCGGTTACTTTGTCAACTTGAGAGGGATTCTGGACCCATCGGCGAAATTGCGATTCGATTTCCGGGTCCTGAGCAGATAGTCGGAGACCATGCGTCTGATGGGCCGCTTGGAGGAGAAGACCCTTGAAACTTTCCGGAATTTCTCTTTTTCTTGGATCAAACTCCTCTGGTGCAATTGGTTTGATACCTCCCGGATTCAGAATATGCCATTGCTTGCATTCGCTCTCAGCTACGAGGTACGATGCGAGCCAGGCAAGCTCGTGTCCCTGATTTGTATCCAGACGGCCCGAGCCTTTGGAAAGTAGATTGTCATCTTCGGCCATGCGTTCGGTGCGAAGTAACGCCCGAATCAGACTCATAAGTACGGTCAAACCCAGCTGGGCGACAGCCACCGAGGAATGACAAGCTCTCAGACCAATAAATTGGATGATGTACCCCAGAAGCGTCAGGAAAAGACCCAAAAAGACGTGCGATATGGGAGCCGACCGTTGTACTCGCCATGAGGTCGTGTATTGGTCAAAGGCTCCCGTATCATGTGTGTATATGAAGGAATCAAAGGCTTGATCACCAACGTATTGAGGTCCGGGCTGAATCCAGAATATCCGGGCGCGGTGACTAGTCTCGTTCTGTGGAGGCCTTCGGAAAACACGCTCCTCAGTGCTCCTCTCAATCATGTACGCGCATAGTCCGACTCCGCACGACAAAAGGATTGTTCCGATTACGGTCATAGGCGCTGCATAGGCGCTTTCTACTTTGGATTTCCCGAGGTTGAGCACAGGATTCAAAATGCCTGTCCAGGCCAACACGGCAGATTGAAAAAAGCTTCCGAGCACAACAGCAGCGTAGAACCAGACCTTATTGCGCGATTTGATACCAATGTTGAGAGAGAGATTGGGGCTTGGAGCGAAATCCTGGGGCGATCTGGTTCCGTCTACCGCTCCTTGTCGGCCCGTTTCGTCCTCATCTGTCTTCTCTTTCTTATGCTCATACCATTCCTGCTCTTTCTGGAATTTGTGAATGTATCCCTTGAAGGAGTAGATTCCGGCTGCTTGCTTGCTTTCTCTCGGGCTGAAGAAATCATCCAGGGTCGATCCGGTATCGAAAACGATTTCTAGCAGCGAGGGCCGACCGAATACTCGGGCAATGCCACCATTGTTGTACAGCTCGCATACTTCGCGGCTTGTTGACGAGCATAACTCGACCTCAGCGTTCCCTGCGCCTTCTTGCGCTCGCCCAATCAAGGCCCGCAGTGATGAATTTCCGCATACGCGGATTGTTGAAACAATCGTCGTAATAATCCCAAGCGGAGCAATTGAGAAGATGATGATATCGAGTAGCGTTACACACTCGCTGAGGTATTGTTTGGTAGGCTGCTCCCCGAAAAGTGAAATGAGCGGAGCCAGGTCCGTCGCCAGGTTATTGGAGAAGTCGTCCCACCAATCACCCATGATTCCGGAACGTCTCTCTTGCGATCATCCAGACGAGACAAAAATACAACGAATCCTCTGGGATGAAGTGAATGGCTGGTCAATGAAAAGATGATACCATTGTGAGAAGCCGGGGAGGCCGGTTGTTAAAACTGGGGTGATAGCAGGCTCGATGAGAGCAACAATTTGCGCCCCCACAACACAAATGGGTCTATATCGACGTGCTTTCATACTACTGGTGGAAAGAAAACTCTTTGCGAAGACAAACTCATATGTAGTGAGGATCTATACCGGTCTATACCGGTCTATTGGCGCACGCACTGATAGGAGACGGGTCTCTAACCCCTATTAGGCACTGAAAATGAATGTCGTTGCACATGATACCTCGTTTCATCTTAGACGGTCTCGGAAATGTCACTACAATGGTGGGGGCTAAGTGTAGATTGCTGAATTGGTTGATATAAAAGCAGTGGGGACGGTTCCCCACCCTCGCTACACGGTCCACGCTAAGTAAAAAAACAAATCGGGTTTCAGAGCTCGGTCATATCGCAACAGGGAACATAGCCGCGCCTCGCAAGTGCAAGAGAATGATTTAAAAAGAGTAGTCCAACATCTTCATCTGCAGTATCTGCAAGCTACAATCATCTCCATTCCAGACAGCCATGGCACTTCCTCGTCTTCTCACCACCGCCTGTCTCTTGGGCATGGCGTTTGCCGCCCTGGGCGCTTGGGGAGAGTTGGCAGCCCTGTACCTAGACCTCCTCCTCACCCGAAACTCGACGAAGTACACCGTCGAAGCTACGCACTACTGGGAGAGGAGATCCAGTTCGGAACCGCTCTGCATCTTTCAGCCGACTAATGCGGATTAAATTGCTAGTTCGGTTGCCATTTTAAATAAGCACCAAGCTCAGCTTGCGGTGCGTGGTGGAGGACATATGGATACAAGTGACCAGGAGCCCTTGTATATTGCTTTTGTGCAAAGATAGTACCCTGGCTCGAACAACATCGACGACGGCGTTTTGATGGCTCTGAACGGGCTCACTCAGTTGAACATTCTGGATGAAGGGCTTGTTGAACTTGGGCCTGGCAATCTCTGGGAGAAGGCCTGCAACGCTCTTGGAGGGGTCGGAAGATACATGATCGGCGGCCGGATGAAGTCAATCGGAGTGCCAGGTTTGTCCTCGATTGGTGGAGTACACTGGTTCTCCAACAAATACGGAGACGCCGTGGACAACGTCATGAGCTATGATGTGGTCCTCGGCAGCGGCCTTCAGGTTGTGGCATATTGGCATCTATCTGCCGCACCATTACTAATGAGTCAGCTCACTTGCCAAAGCCGAGGAGCCGGGCGACCCGTGTACGCAGAAACAGGGCCGATGTTAGTCACCAAGCTCATGGCCAGCAGCCCCGTCAAGAACCACGTCATCCAGCTGAAGGAGGTTCTGTTTCAGAAACGCCAAAGAAAGAGTTCGATTACGGCGCTTCCTCCACGGTCGTCATAGTTTCCCACGCTGCATATCGCCCGCCAATTACTACTTTATTATCGCTAAGCATTTCACGCTAGTTACTACTGAGTAGGGCAAGGTACTATATTAAGATTTTCAGGGTAGTACGTTATCGCTTCCCCGCAGTGCAGGCCCGGCCGGAGATGTAAACGAATTGGGAATGCACCAACTTACGGAAGAAGCGTCGGACGGAGATAAGGCTTACCCGGTGGTTCGGCAGAGTTCTACAAGCACCAGGGTATAGGAGCAAGGCCCCACACGCGCGCGTGTGGATGCAGAGTGCTTTCAGCGGCGCAGACAAAACAAGAGCGGAAAGGCAAACGGGTGGCGGGCGAGCAGACGACAGGATGCCGCCCCCTCCCTCCAGTGCACCAACACCCCGCCATCTCCGCAACTTGCAGCAGCATGCTTAATGCTCCAGTGCGGCGATGGACCCCGTCACCGTTCTTGGCATCGTCAACGCCGCCGCAAACCTCGGTCTCCGGTGCGTCAGCATCGTGCACGCGCTGCACACGGCCGCCGAACGCTTCAAGACGGCACAGCTGTCCATCGTGTCGCTCGTCGAGGAGTGCAGCACCATCGAGCTGGCGTGGGACCAGCTGCGCGTCTACGTGGAGACGGAGCTGGCCAACGTGCCCGAAAACGAGCAAATCGTCAACCGCATCCAGCGCTCGCTCCACGCCGGCGAGCTGGTCATCGCCGCGCTGCAGAAGGACCTGGACGAGGCGCTATCGTCGCCCCTGAAGAGCGGCCTGCTCCAGCGCACCAAGGTCGTGTGGAAGGAAGATATTCTCAAAGACCACCAATCGCGCATCCGAGGCCAGGTCGGCGCCCTGACCCTTCTGCTGCAGGTCATCAGATTGTACGTGCGGAAATTGCTCCTGGCGAGAAGGAAAGAAAAAAGAGGGGGGCTAACTGGCGCAACACACACGCAGACCACGCCCGACGGAGCGCGAGCGGCTGCTCACGGTCAAGGCGCGCGTCTTCGACGACTCGGACGCGAGTGCGTACAGCATTGTCCCCTCGATATGCGACACGGCTTCCATCAGCTCCCGCGCGACGCAGACCACGACGGCCACCGAGGCAGGCGACGACATCCGCTACATCCCGCTAGACTTCGAGGACTCACTCTTCACATCGTGGGTGTACAAGCGCAACTTCCGGCGGCCCGGCCAGGCTCCGTCCGCGATGCCGCCGCCAACGACCAGGCGGTTCTCGCTGGGCCGCCGGAGCCTGCGCAGCAATCCGCGGAGCAGCAGCAGCTCCCAGTCCCCCGACGACACGGCATCCGTGGCCGCGGCGTCGTCCAGCGACGGTAGCAGCGCCATCTTCTCTTCCACCACGTCGGCCGGGTCGAGCGATCGCGTGCGGAGGCCTTCCTTGGTCAGCCCCATCACTCCCGTAACGCCCCTCGGATTTTCCGAACGGGCCTCGTTTTCATCCTCGTCGACATGTCCAGATGCCGAGGGGGCCGACAAGTTGACTAAACTGTTCGAAGTCATGGTGAGTTGACAGTCCTGCGTTGACCTGCAAGCAACGAGCTAACGCACTGTGCACCAGGGCCTTCCCAAAGACGAAGCAGCACGACGAAAGAGAGAAATGACGAGAAGACCGTAGGGTGACTTTGAAATCACGGCGTTGGTTGAGGTTTACTTGTGGCGAGATATCATTGGGATTGGGCTATATATGTCTGGGCTTTTCAAGCGTTAAAATGACCCATGTCCGTTCGCTTCTTTTTCATCCTCTCTCCATCTGATCTTTCTCCGGTTTGTTCTAGAAGAATGATACCAGCCCAAGGCAGAATGTAACACAAAGGAATAAACGAAACGTTCATCAACAAGACCACCCCTCACTACTCGTCCTCAAGCAGCCACACCCGGTCCCCCACCGCGCCAAAGTGCTGCTGCACGAGGATCCAAACAGCCATGGAAACCCCGTGCAGCCGGCCGGTGACGCGGGTGACGCACGAGGCAGGCGTGCCAAGCACGGCGGCGGCGAGCAGGACGGCGGCGCGCGGCCGCAGGAACAGGACGGTGCAGCGCAGCGCCGGATCTCCTCCTGCCGCCGCCGCCGCCGGGAACTTGTCGAGGCTCATGCGGCTCCAGCGGGCCAGGGCCAGCGAGCACGCGGCCTCGACGGCGCAGCACACGCACACCTGGCCCACCAGCGCGGGCAGAGACGGCAGCTCGGCCCGGCCGAAGGGGTCGCGCGGGTACGCCAGCGTGCAAGGGTGGAAGGCGAGCAGCAGCGGGTACTCGATGGCGAAGTCAAGAGTCAGGAACAGGTGCGTCAGGGCCGACGGCGTGTGGCGGCGCGGGCGGCGCAGCGGCGTGGGGGCATGTTTCTGGAGGTAGAAGAGCGCGAGGCTTGCGGCGATGATGCAGGCGGCTGTTCTGCTGGTCAGGCGAAAGAGATGAGCAGAGAGAGAGAGACAGCGGGAGGGCTCACAGGTTGCTGCCACGGCATTGATGTCTGAGTATGGGAACAGTGTTTGGGACGTGTTGACTGGATCGATCTGTATACGGTAAGCGAGTGTCGGCAGCGGCGCGGTAGGACGATCGAACCAGCTCAGCTTGGTGAGTCCAGCCGAATCTCTGATGCGACATGTTAAGCGGCGATGGCGATCAATAGGGAAAACTGATGATGGGGCTGCAGAACGAGCTGTAGGCTCCTGGCTGGTGACAGCCTCGTATCTGGCAGCCGGCCGTCTAAATAACACGGCCACGCATTCCGACATGGCGTTGGGCTGATATCGAGATGGCTGCGGGGACATGGACAGCGTCTCGAAGAAGCACGGCTGAAGGTTGACCTGCGGGTGGCACGATTGGGGGCCAAGGTTATACATATGCACGAGCGGCAGGGAGCAGGGAGCAGGGAGCAGGGAGCAGGGAGCAGGGACAAGGGCATCTATTGTTGCAGCACGCAGCTGCCTACTCGGAGCGGGGCACAACCAGAAGAGTCACGTCGTCGCCGTCGACGGGTTTCATAACGCCCAGACAGGGCATCCGGCCCTCGACTCGCGGAAACGGCGCGAGCGGGTCCGCCAGCGCCAGCTCGAAGCGCCCCACGGCCTGCGCGACGCACGTCAGGACCTCGCGCTTGGCCAGGAAGCGTCCAGGGCACAGCGTCGCCCCGCCGCCAAACGGGCGGAAGCTGGGGTTGCGTTTCGCGTCGGAAAGCTCGGGACTGCGCAGGAAGCGCTCGGCATCGAACGAGTCTGCCTCGTCGTCGTCGCTGTCGTCGTTCTGCTCATCCCAGACGGTGGCGTCGGTCAGCATCTGGCGGAAGGGGATCAGCAGGCGGGCGCCGGCCCGCAGCTGGCGCCCGCCGCTTAGCACAACGGGCGCCACGACGTCGCGCACCCCCATCGACGACGCCGCCAGCCGCAGCGCCTCGTGGTAGACGGCCACCGTCGCCGGGCAGCCCTCGAGCCGCGCCGCGAGGTCAGCCGTCGACGCCGCCGCCGCCAGCGCCACCCGCACCTCGCCTTGTACCGTCTGCAGCAGCGCCGGCCGGTGCGCCAGGTGCGCCACCACCCAGAAGGCCAGCTTCCACGCGTTGCCGTTGATGACCCAGTAGAGCAGGAACAGGTTGGCCGCAATGTCGGGCGGCGCGATGCCGGCTGCTGCCATCTCCGACTCCAGCGCCCGCACCATCCAGCATGCGTCGCCCCGCTGCTCCATGGGCATCTCGAAGTAGCGCGTGAAGCTGGCCCGCACGCGCCGCAGCGACCGCCCCATGGCCGTCGACCACGGCGGTGGCAGCCGGTACACCAGCTTCCAGCTCTGGTCGTCAAAGGCGGCAAAGTCGTCGAGCAACCCGCCGTCAACCTTGTCCAGCAGCGCCCCGCCGAAGAAGGCACGCGTCGCCCCTTCCAACATAGCGAACTTGATCCACTCGAGCAGTGACACGCGCCGCCTGCCGTTCTGCTGCTGGTGGCCGAGCACCACCCGCGACGAGAGCGTCATGGCCTCCCAGCTCATGACCTCGTGCATGCGCCCCAGCAGCACATCCTGGAGCTCGTCGAGCTGCGGGCCCGGGTGCAGCTGGTGCTTGAAGATGGCCTCGGACAGGTGCACCAGCGGCTTGCGTCCTGGGTTTGGCACCATAGGCCCTTTGCGGGCGCCCGAGGGCTGGTGCTGCCACATCTTCGCGATGGCCTCGGGCGTCAGCCCGATTTGCACCATGATGTCGTTGACGTAGCGGTCGAACGTCAGGGCCTCCGTTCTCTTGAACACCGTCGCCACGTCGCCGGCCGTGAGGACCACGTAGATGGTCGCCCCGAAGACCGTGAGTGCGAACGGCTCCCGGTCGTTCTTGAAGTGCCGCCTTTGGTTTCCGTCACCGTCAGTTCTCGCGCTATGTTGGGCCAGTTGGGAAGCCTTACCGCCCGCGCGATATCGTGCCATTGCCGTCGGCGAAGAAGGAGAAGGCGTGCCCGACAACTGCCACAGCATCAGAATTGAGTTGGCATGCACCGACGAGGGTTGCCAGTACATGGGATCAAATATGGAAACTCCTTCGCCCTCTCAGGGTGCAAGGCGGGCTGGATGGTGAATCTCCAGATCCGCCAGGCAGCGTAGCAGATCGCAATGCCCAAAAAAGCGTACATTGTGTTTTCGTAGTGGTGCTGGAATCACTAACACAGTCTTCGCTGGTGCGGCGAGAGAGCAAAACGTCCCTCGTAATGGGCACTGCGAGCTTTCCTCCCGAGATCCTTGTCCTATAGCCTGATCAAGCATGCGGCCCCGCGCGTGCATCTGGGGAGGGCATCTGCGGTTCACAGCTATCGTAGCATTGAGTCAGGCTTCTTTGCTGCATTGCTCTTCGGCCTATCCTATTAATAGAAAATCGCCACGTCCGTATGCCACCCGCGTGATCTAGACAGAAAGACCCCACTGATACCGACTGTCTACCTCAGCTGCACTCACATGCTTCTTGGGGGCCGGACTATGCATGGGGGCTGAGAACTTGAGTTCCCGCTCCAGACGCTTAACGCACCGTCCCCACCAATATAACCCCCCGGCGCCTGCACGTCGTTTTTCTGCCTTGCAGGTGAGACACACCAATTCTAGTAGTATATGGCGAGCTCTAAGCAACGCAAGCTTTGGAATGCTGATTCATGGTCTACGTGCATACTCAATATTGATCCCCACGCACGACCATGGAAGCTATTTCCGGTAGACAGGCAAACATGCCCTTGCGCACATGTACGTAGCATGTGAAGGTGCAGTTGATGCGAAGTTCTCACGCTCTGTGGTAGGCCAACGAGACGCTTTGGTTCTTTGGTATCAAAAGAGTGTACAACGAAAAAAAAAAAAAGTAAATAACATCAATGAATCAAGCAGCTTTGCCTTGCCTCTTTCGAAATAGCATGGTCGTCTTTGCATGCGGAATGGTGGAGCAACGCCAATTAAAATACCGCGAATCCTCCTGACCATCAGCCATTTTGATATCGTACTCCAGCACAATCTGTGCCACAGCAATCTTCAAGATACGGGCCGCGTAGAACCGTCCGGGACTGCTGGCGTCAGCTATCTGCATTTAACAAAACAACCGACAACTGAACTTACCATGTATGGTTCCCAAGGCCCCACAATGGGTAGTCGGCAGTGGAAGAGCAAAAGCCTTCGGCCTTGCTGACTTTGCTCTGCTCTACGAATCTCATGCCATCAAAGGTGAGGCCATCCTGGTAGCGCTGAGTGTCACGCATGATTGCATTCAGAGGGACACACGCAACCTCTCCAGCACGGACGGCCGTCCCGTCCGAGAAGGTGAAGGGCTTGATGGCCTGTCGGCGAACCGAGATGGCTTCCGAGGGATGCAGCCGCGCTGATTCCTTGAGGAAGCTGTCCAGGAGCGGGATCTTCTCGATTGCAGAGGATGGCTCTCCGGCTGCCAGTCGCTGGAGGTCTTGCCTGAGCAGGTCCATGTATTTCGGGTGCCTGCAGAGATCATCGAGAGCATAGACGAGTGCCAGAGCCGGCTGGTGGACCGATGCGAACCAGACTCCGAGAATTACTTGAAGGATTTTCTGCGCGGACCACGGGTTTTTGGTCCTGCTGGCTTCGACGAAGAAATAGAGGCAGTCAACGTGCTGGCTCCCGTGCGGATCTTTGGCGAAGTCTTCCATCCGCTGCTCGATCAGCGGCCGTAGACGCTCCACCATTAGCTCAGAGGCCTTGTTCTTCCAGCGCAGGATCGGAGCAACCATGGGAACCGTCCATTTAGGGATGAGTCGGAGGATCTCGGCAGATGTGAACAGTTCCTCGGGATATTGCAACGCGGCCTCCACAAACGTCGCATCGCGCGCAACGTCAACGCCAAAGAAGGTCGAGCTGTTCGCAGTGGCTATTACCTTCTTTGCGAGTTGGAAGAGGGGAAGCTCCACCCAGCCATCTTGCTTCTGAATGCCGTCAGAAATCTCTCTCGACAGGCTTTGGTGTACGATTGCCTGAAGTTGGGAGTGCAGCTCGTTCAGGTGGTTTCTAAGCTTCACACCAAGGACTCTCAGATGGACGGTACCATTGGCACTCATACCGTCCTCAACCACCAGTCCATCCATGGTGTACTTAGGTTGCAGCAACTTGACGGCGGAATGAGTCAGCTCAGATCTGTCACGGCTGTGGAGTCTGCCAGTACCTCTTTGGACAAAGCATGCAGAGAGAGAACATCCCATGGCGCCGAGATCAACTCTTTGATGTGCGTGCTCGAAGATACGTGTATGTACGTGGTCTCTGGAGTGGCCAGCGAGAAGACCGCACCAGGTTTCTACTCGAGTTCAGCGTGTGTATGGCAATTACTGGCTTACAGACTTACGTATGCGTCAAGAATTAGTTGTGTTCCGCAGACGAGGTAACGGATTCCATCCAGCCACTTTCTAATGAACAACGTTCTCCGATGGAGGAGTCTTGCAAGTGGGCGGCTTTTCACTGCGCCGAGGCGGCAATATGAGGAAAGATGGTCTTTGAAGTAGGTGTCGGAGCCCAGGGCTGTTTCAAGCCTCCTGCCGGCAGTCCAATAGAGAAGAAAGACAACGAAGCCGATGTAGAGGGTGATTTGGATCATCTTTGACGTTGCAATTTCTGGAAAAATAATCTCCCTGTTCTTCATGAGTAGAGGGTCAGTGTTCTTCATCGTAAGGCCCCGCTGAGCAGCATATCTACGACCCACTGTGCAGACTTGAATCGTACACGCAAGGGCTGGAAGAGCTGAACTCCTATTTGGGAATTAGGTAGGCAGATGGCGCGCTTACGCTGCGGTGCAGGGGTAGATGCATAAGAGGGCAGGGGCCCTTGCAAGGCTGCGGTAAGCCACACCGCAGAAGCTTGACGCCTCCGGCAATTCCACCGATGAGAACCTTATCCCGGTCCGATGGCAGGCATCTGAATCCATCTGCGTTCTGCGTGTACATTTTGCAGCAACCGTGTTGACACGGTCCTAAATATGGCACGGCGTGAAGAGAGGGGCTGTCTCGTGCGATCTACTTATTAGGTCGCGCCTGTGTTTTGTATGTGTTTTCTCAGGCAGCCAGTGCTCGGCGAAACTCATTCCTCTCCCACCAAATTTTCTCGCTCTTGCAACATGTCTATCCCCGCTGGAGCGGATCTTTCTCAGATACCGGCGATGCAGCCGCCAGCAGGCGTCCAGTCGGACCTAATCGACCCACCCAGCTACCACCACAAGCTGCTCATCCTCAACCTAGTCTTCACCATAACGATGCTCGTCCTTGTGGGAGTTCGTCTTAGCGTCAAAGGCTTCATCTCCAAGGTACTTTGGTGGGATGATCGTGAGTGACGCTGATATACCCTCGACTAAACAAAGGCTGATTCTTGGCATTTAGTCGCCTGTGTCATGGCTGCGGTTCGCAACCCGTTCCCACAACATTGCTCATGTTCTGATGGGGTATACAGATGGGATCCGTCACCCACGCGGTGGTTATGATGTACCGTAAGACTCGCCAAGGGCATTGTCATGTTGGAGGGAGAACTAACGCAGCGTTGTAGAGACGAGAATCGGTTACGGGCGGCACATGTGGGACATTCCCGTGTCCTGGCTGGTTGAAAAGAAGAACCTGGAGGTGAGAGCGAAGCCGACCCTGGGGCACCGCACCAGCTGACGGCTGACCATGTAGCTACTCAACGCGGACAACCCCGTCTACCTCACGACCATCTTTCTGGCCAAGGTGTCGATGCTGCTGCTCTACCTGCGCATCTTCCCGCGGAGCACCAACATGGGCCGTTGGATCATATACATGCTTGTCTTCCTCACCGCCTTCTGGCTGTCGATGCTGGGGCCTGCCATCGCTGCGCAGTACAAGTGCGTGTCGTTGCAGTCGCCCACGACCGACTTCTGCACGGCCATCAGCAATAGCCTGATCATCCTGAACGCCGCCGTCACCGTGGCTACCGACTTCTACGTGCTGCTGCTACCGATCCCGCCCTTCTTCAAGCTGCTGTTCCAGACGAAGCAAAAGCTGCTGATCGTCGTCATCTTCCTTACGGGTCTTGTGTAAGTCGTCCCGACTCCCCAGCGCCGATTGTAGGCGGCACTAACGGCGAGGGAAACAGAGCATGCGCGGCCAGCACCACCAGGCTAGGGCTATTCTTGAACTCGTTTGGTAGCGACGACATCTTATGGGAGCAGGCAAACAATTCCATGTACACGTGAGTAGAACGCATCCACTATGCTTTTAGCGAGGCTGATGGTCGCGCAGTATTGTCGAGATCAACGCGGCCATTACTTCGGGGTGCCTGCTCAACCTGCCCGCGTTCTGCGGTTACGGAAAGGGTGTTGCGCTGCGGGCATACAACTCGGTCAGATCGCTGGTGACCGATAGCTCTGCGGGAAGCACGCGCGGCAACTCTTTCGAAAGGACAAGCGGCGTTGAGGAAGTCCACGTCACAGATAAGGACAACAGAAGCTCGGTGGATCAGGGAACGTCCGAGATGCGTGCCAGGATAAGCGAGGTTTGAGTGTGGGGACATATTGGCAGGCAGAGCATTAATTGTTCTTTACTTATCCATCAGTTTCCACCCACGAAATATAAGTCGAAATCCAGATTTTGAGCTCTCCTTGTACTCGTACTATGACTACTGATTCCTTTTGCTCACCCGACACGGGTACTGACATGCCGTATGGGCACCGCCGCCTCCCCCATCGACCTGATAGGCCTGCTCCCCGTGCACGTCTTTGACCCCAGTCCTCGGGTGGCGCTCGTACCACTCGTCGTACGCCGGACGCATGTCGAACTCGCGGGCCGTTACGACCAGCGCCAGCTTCAGCTCCACCATGGCCAGCGTCTGGCCCAGGCAGGCGCGGGGCCCCGTCTCGAACGGCCGCCACCATGCGCCAGCGGGCGGGTAGAGGGCGTCGCCGGGCTCGGCCAGCCAGCGCTCCGGCACGAACTCGTCCGGGCGCCGCCACGCGCCCGCGTCGCGGTGCATAGCGCTGTGCACCACCCACACGCTACAGTTCTCGGTCGGGAAGCGGCGGCCCGTCGTCGAGCTGGTTAGGACCATGTCGCGGCTGCCTTTGCGGATGCCGGAGCCCGGCGGGAAGAGGCGGAGTGTCTCCTTGATGGCGGCAGCCGTGAAGGGCAGCTGGTTGAGCAGGCTGGGGTTGGTGGCGAGGAGGGTGCTGGCGGCGGCCGGATCGGGCCCGAAGACTTGGTCGTGCTCGGCACGGAGGCGGGCGAGGGCAGCCGGGTGCGTATAGAGGAGGTGGAAGGCGTAGGCCATGGTGCTAGACGTCGTATCGTGACCGGCGATGAGGAATAGGCGCATTTGCGCCGCGCCGTACTGCAGGAATGTCGAGTTGGTGGACGGGGATGGCGCCTTGTCGAGTTTGTCCTGGTATCGGTCGAATGCCATTGAAGCGACGGACTCTTGCTTGTTGATCTTCTCGCTTCTACGCCTGGACATGGCCTTCTTCAGTTCTTCACGTATGAACTTGTCGACGTACCGTCCTTGGTACCAGCACATCAGGGGCCGGACAGGATTCCAACGCCGAAAAGGGTTCACCTCAGCACCGAAGGAAGTCCATTCGACAAGAGAGCGAAGTCGGGTGGGGAATTCACTGCCCGAAAGTTGATAGTCAAAGCTCGTGTCTCTTTGTGACGGGTTAGCTTTGGCAATATGCTGAAGACTGGTCGCAAAGCTTACAGTATCACTAGACCAATTATATCGAGGGTCAATCTGAAGGTAGCTTCCTCTAGGCAAAACAACCCGCCCGATTCTGCATTTTTGCGTAGGATGCCCCGGAAGATCTGCGCAGTCGATAGCAAGGCAGGTACCTGCGCCAGCATCTGCATAGGGCTAAAAGCTGGGTTGAAGACGGAACGCCAAAACTTCCATTGGTCGTCAGGCATGGTAAACAGATTGGGGCCACCGGTTAAACAATGCAGTGCCGCGGCGACAGATGTCGGTTTTGGTGCCGTGGGGCTTTTGATAAGTTCAGTTGCGGCTTGAGGGTCGAGAACGATCAGAAATGGATCGTTGATGGGCCAAAAGTCGAGGTAGAACATCTTCTCTTCGGGATGTGCTCGTGCCAGCTCGGCTACGCTGTAGTTGAAGACTGCGTCGGGCGGCAGCTTCTCGAGAAAAGGGCTAGCAGCAAGCATGTGGCCTGCAACCCAGCTGAATGGAGGCATTGGCTTGGGGATTTGCCATTAGTAGAAGGCCGGCAGCACGGCGGGGTATGCACACGAACCATTCGTTGTCGACGCAAATCGGCAATGATTTTGCGGGACCGGTATGCCTTCCTGAACATGTACAGGACAGCAACTGCAACGGAAAACAGCAACGAAACGAGCAGGTTCGGGAGCATGATGGGCATCTTGGCGCGGTCGCAGCTGGAAGCACTGCTGATGCGGGTGACAGGAGCGGGGGAGAAAATTGCAGGCGATTGGTGTCGCTCGACATTGTTCTTTGATTGTTATGTCATCATCATCCGAGCTGGGGGCTTCATTTCACTTGCCCGACCGACCCGCGTATGTGTGCAAGCACCGACCCATTCAGAGGTGGAAGCGCCGGGGTGCACGCGGCGAGGGTGCTTGTCGCAATTAACTTTACTGCCTACATATGGAATTACGTGTGATGGGGGCCGACAAGTGGGTACTGTCCAGGCAACAAGAGGGAGCCTGCGAATGCAAAGGCTAGGCGCCGGGGCATAATTGGGGGTTGCAAGGCCAGGGTTGCAGCCATGTGATAGGCCGAGGCGATACGGAACAGCTGCAGGACCTTCTGCAGGACCTTCTGCAGGACCGGGAGCCCCAGCTTCGTCAATAAATCGCACAAAGAGGGCTCCATGTCTGCTGCTTCCGACAAGCCCAGCCTCGCTCGCTATCGCCAATGCATGCAACGTCGCGGTGGCACAGAAGTCCCAGCCCAGGGGAAGCGAAATGGTAGCAGCGTGCGGCGCGGCAGTACCTAGTACTTGTGCCGCCCGCCTCTGAGGCTCTGACTGGCCTCTTCCCATCTCATCCTCACAATCTCATACTCTCAATGCTGTCTGACAAGAGTCTCGGTTCGGTGCTCGTCACCGGTGGCTGCGGCTTCTACGGCCACCATCTCGTGCGCCGCATCCTCGAAATCGAGCCGACCTGCGCCGTCTCGGTGCTCGACGTCGACGTCTCCGCAAACAACTTCCCCGGCGTCTCCTACTACCAATGCGACCTCGCCGACAGCGCTCGCGTGCGAGCCATCTTCGAGCAGGTCCAGCCGCCGCCGCGCCTTGTCTTCCACCTCGCGTGCCCTCCAAGCATCATCGTCAACGACCGGCGCTTCTTGCGCGTCAATGTTGACGGCACCCGCCATCTCCTGGACGCGTCCCGGAACGTCGGCGTCAAGGCCTTCGTCTACACATCGTCGTCGGCCGTCGTGCACGACAACGAGTCGGACCTGATCGAGGCCGACGAGAGCATGCCCATCCTCAAGCCGCCGCAGCAGAAGAGCGTCTACACCCTCTCCAAGGCCATTGCCGAGGAAGACATCCTCGCCGCCAACCGCAAGAATGGCATGCTGACGGTCTCGCTGCGGCCCTGCACCACCTTTGGGCCGGCCAACCCAGGCTTCATGAGCCGCATCGTCGAGGTTGGCAAGACCGGCAAGGCGCGCTTCCAGATGGGAGAGAATAACCCATGGGACTTCATCTACATCACCAACCTGGTTCACGCCTGCCTGCTCGCCGCCGACCGCCTGCTCGCCGCCGCCGACGCGCCCGCCCTACCCGCCAACCAGCGCGTCGAGGGCGAGGCCTTCAACATCACCAACGACGAGCGCATGACCTTCTGGGACTTCACCCTGGCCACGGCCGCCGCCATGGGCAAACCCGTCGACAACAAGGACATCAAGAAGATCCCGCGCTTCATCGCCCTCCTCGTCTGCTTCTTCTCCGAGTGGGGCGTCTGGCTCTTCTCGCTCGGCCGCAGGCAGTCCAACATGGTTCGCGAGGGCGTCGTTTTCGCCTACATCACCCGCACCCTCAACACTGACAAGGCCAAACGAGTGCTGGGCTATCGCCCCATTGTCTCGTTGAAGGATGGTATTCAGGAGAGTGTCGACTGGTACATGAAGCAGGACAAGAAAGCCGAGTGAATTGCGTCATGACGCTACTTCCATCCCCATCTCCTCTCTTGTAAGCGAGCTAGACGGGAAAGGCTCTCGATAGTAGGTGTATTTCTACTATATAGGCAAAAACATCTATTTAATTACTCGGCTCTTTCTATCTTTGTTCTAGAGCTTGTCTGACCTATGAGTGTTTGGGCTCGAGAGCGGGGGGTTTGACTTTGAATTTGCATCAAAATCCCTATAGACTATGGTACATGTATAAAGTGTTAGACCTTTGCCTTTTTCCTATCGTTATTTGACGAGCGGCTCCTCCGTCTCTTGCCTGATGAAGAACCCTTTCCTTCACCAACAACAGGAATATGAGCTTCAGTCTGGAAGCTAGGAAATATTCCGTCATCTAGGTCTTGCTGGGAATACGGTCCGTCGGATTCAGCCGGGATTGTCAGAGATCCCTCAGAGAGCACGTCTTCTTCCTGCTCGTAACCTGTACCTGCGTCTTTGTCATTCCCGCTCTTAGTCCGAGGTGTTCCAGCTTGGTCGAGAAGCCTCCCCTCAATATTACTCAAACCCCCATCTTCATCCTGCTCGTAAACTGCACCTGCATCGTTGTCGCCCCCGTTCCCAGCCCGAGGCATGTCAGCTTCCTCTGTAGGCCTCCCCTCGATGCTGCTCAAAACCTCATCCGCTAAATCGCTGTAACTGCCCTGCACTGTGTTGTCCTTCAACGCCAGTAAATGCAACCACCACAACGCGAGATTCACAGTGAGCCCATCACCATTCTGAGAGCCGCCTTTGATGCATGCAAATTCCAAGATGCCATTCCTGATGTCTCTTTGCTCGATCGTCTCTGGATTGGATTCAGTCGGCTGCTTTTCTTGCGTTCGACGCCTGGTTGACCTCCTCGGCGGGCCTTCCTCAGGATGGGAGACATCCGTTCGGTCTATTGCGGGTGTCTTTCCTTTCTGATTTGGTCGAATCCGTAGGACCAGTAGCTCGCGATCCGATAGTACGTATCCGTAGCGGACCTTCAGCTCTACGCAATAGGTGAATACCTGATTCAACGGCTGGATCCAGTGCGGACGCTCGTATTTGCCAAGATCGAGTACAGTGTCCGGAATCCTAGAACCAAGCAAGTCATTGAATGTCCAGGAACGGCTGTCTTTGGTGTCTCCGGGCAAGATGTTCGCAAGGTCCCTGGGCGCAAAATCATCTCCTACGCGTACACCAGCCCAGTCTGGTCGAAAAGGTTTTTGATTTCCGGTGCGTCGAACTGGCTCCGCGCTATGGCCACGAATCATCGAAACAAACTCGGGCCTCCCGAGTAATTTCTTCGCCTCTTTCAGAGCTGTCTCCACGACCACTCGGTTGCTATCCTGGATGAAGTCCCCGATGCCACCTTCGTTCAGAGCAAAATCAATCGAAGGGCGGATCTGGGAGGGGTCCGGAAGATCCCGTTCATGACGCAGAATGTGATCGTACATGGTCTGCAAGGTGCGTAGGTCGAAGTCCTCCCATGGCTGAAGGCGTGTTGGCTGGTGGTATCCTTTGTTTGTTGTAAGAGACTTGGATTTCTTCTTAGATGTCTTGCTCTTGGACGATTCGGCCAAACGGACAGGAGGCGCGTGAGTGGTAAGGAATTTGAAGAGGGTCATCGCAGCATTTTTCAATGGCAGATAATTCCACAAACGGTTTTCAGCATTGCTGAAACCTTTATCCGCAGCAGTCTCTGCTGTGCCGCATGCGGGGACAACATGTTCGATCTATAGAGCTGCTGAATCCAGTATTGGTTAGCGAGAGCATGAATCCCTTCAGCCAGGACGCGTCACGTATCCAATAAGCTCCGACTTTTCGTGATAAGTAAGTCCACAAACTATTGACACCATCGCAGATCGAATACATATCCGCGGAAGCGGCTGCTGTGCCGCATGCGGGCGTACCGTGCTGGAGTTGTAGAGGTATCAAATCCGGTATTCAAATCCGAGAGCAGGGATCTCTCCACCCATCATGAACTCGAACTTGAAAATAGCCGCCGGCAGCGCCGCCGATCTGAACTCGTATCGGACCACGCCGCGGTCACCCCACCTCTAGACTTCAGTCACTGGTCTAGCCACCGAGATTACACACCAGAATCACCGAAATATGCGGCTCGGTCGCAAGCACGTATATACATACTGTTGATCTGGATAGATTCCAAGAGCGAATTCCCTCCGACAACATGGCTTCACATTCGGCCCAGAACAGAAGATCGCATACCGGTAGGGCGAAGAGAACCCGTCCTGAATCGAGAGAAGAAAAGCGGCTTGCGAGAGGCGCGGTCCGGAACGGCGGCCTTCTCCCTGGATGCGACGGTCCAAAGATGCACCCTTTCAAGCACCGACGGGCAAGAATCTTATACGATGCTCTCATTTCCAGCAATGACGCAACGAACACCGCCACAAGCAGTAGCGGCGCGGACTCGGGCAGCGATGAGGCAATGTCTATTGACGACGAAACAACCTCTGGGAGCGAAGGACATGTGTTCAAGGTCAAGATCGATTCTAAAGTCTATGCATTGAAGCTGGTAAGGGCAATGAGCTGCTCTTATCTTGTGTTCTATTCAAGCTAACGTAGTCTTCAGTTCAAGTTTTTTGACATGGAAGCTGCACGCTCTGAATTCTTCAGCGTTGACAACGAGGACATCGGGGATAAAGAATTCGAGGAACACATTGATCCTTTCTATGCGGAGTGCCGTGCATATGGTGCTATCCAAGAGAAAATCTACCACGGACATCCACCACCAGACGAGAAGGATTGGGTTGCGGCCCCATGCTATGGCTATCTCCATATCTCGGCCGCGGATGAAGCTGTAATACGCGGCAAATTCAACATCGAGGACTGGAATCGCCCGGAAGGCGGAGATCATGCGAAGCCCATCAGGGCCCTTGTCAAAGAGTTCATTGAGCAGGAAGATGCCGTTGACACGAAAAGGCGGTCGGTGCGTCGCATGCGTAAAGATTTGTTGATGATACGCAGTGCTGGTGTCTATACTCGGGATCTCTTCGCTCGTAATTATCGAGGAGGCCTTCTCGTTGACTTTGGCCAATCGTTTACAGAACCGCATTGTGCGTTACGAGTCTTGCCAAAGCGGCAGGCCAATGCTGAGAAACAGCAAGACCTGCGCCTCTTTTACAGAATGATGGAACGCCTTCGTGTCCAGTATTCCGTACGAACAATGCCGGAAAGGGTCATACCAACACGCCAGGGGACGTTTCGCCGGGAGACGCAAGATCTTTGGGAGCTCGATGGCACTGGGAACGCTCGACGGATCATTTAAGTAGAATGCATTGCTTGTTACAACATATCAGTTCGTCTCATTCGCCTGATGAGGCAGCACACAGACGGTACGCTCCGTTGTAAAGTTCTTACAAACCGTTTGGTCGATGCTGGTGGATCTTGCGCTCTGGCAATGGATTTAGGTGTATCTCGACCACTTCCTCCGTCCGACACGGACATGCCGGTACAGCCCACACCATGCGTCCAACAACACTGTCGTTCTTGACCAGAATGGCGATCCCTCCCCTCATTGTCGACGTATATTCCAGACCGGGAATGCGATATGCCACGGCGCCGTAGGCTTCCGCCGGCCTTATATACAAAGCAGCCCGGAAAAGGAAGCTTTTGAGACACACTGGACAAGGGGCTCCCACGAGAGCCCCGCGCGGGCCGAGATGCAGCGTGCCGCCATGAGCCTTCATAAATCGCATAGGAGGCACCCCGCCACAGCTTTCCAGCGCCGTTGACGAGAGGCCCAACGCGTCAGCAATCCGGTTAGTCTCCTTTACCGGCCAGGGCTCCTGGCCACCCTGGGTATTGAAGCGCTCCACCAACGCACGTTCCAGGAACGAACGACGCTCGGCTTCCATGCAACGCTGCCGGACCTCCTGCGCGTCCTGACCATACAGCCTCGTGCCGACCGTGGCTACGAAGTCATCGACGTTCGGGCCGGTGAAGTCCAGCGCCACCTGGGCAACGTGCGAGAACAGCACGGGCGGATGCAGCGTGCGGAAGTTGAATTTCTTCAAAAAGCGAACGGGTCCGATCCTATCCGCCTTGAGCACGGGATTCCCCGCAGAGGAGAGCGATAGACGGGGGATTGCCGGTGCACGCTGCAGGGTACCGAGGCTCCAGATGCCGCCGTCGTGGTAGCCCATGCCGATGCCGCCGGGGTTGTCATCGACCGGCAGCGGCGACATGAGGATGGGCGTGTAGTCGCCTTTTCGCAGGCACTCTCTCGCGAACGCTAGAGTGGCGTCGTCGTATCGGTCGAAATCCGGCGGCGTCTCCCACCGTGGGTTGAGAATGCCACACAGCGCGTGGAAGAAATCTGCGTTGCTCCGGCACCCCCGTTTCGCCAACATGGAGAAGGCCTCCGCGAAAGAAGCATCTTCCTGGCTCCTGATGCGGGTAAGTGGGCCGAGCTGCCACGGGACGAGACCGTGGTCTCGCATCAGCTTCTCCGCCTCATGGGCATCGCCTATTTCTACGACGATGGCATCCCACGACGCCGACAGTTCGGCAAGGAAGACATCTTGCACGCCGGAGATGAGCTTGCAGTCGTCCAGCATGGTGCGGGTGGCCGGGCTGCGGACGTACTCCATGGCCGTCCACACGCGGCTGAACCACGCGGCGTTGCAGATGCGGGCGACGCCGCGAGCGCGGGCGCGTAGGGTCTTACCCGTCCTCATCTTCTTGATGCATTGCCTCGATACGTCCTCCAAGTGGACAAGCGTGAAGGCAGCCTGTTTAAAGATGGGCGCCACGTGATCGAGTATCCGCCCCTTCACGTCCGCTTGCCACTGCGGGACGCTGAGGTAGTCGTGCCACAGCTCGAGGCCCAAGCCCAGCTCCGCACTTTGCAGGCCATCCCAGACTCGCATGGGCAGTGTGATGGCGAGTGTACGTGCTTGCGAGATTTCGAAATCGTCGCCTTCCCCGTTCTGGACTTTGGAGACGGTCTTGTTCCATACGTGCGAGACGGCTATATATCTGACCTTGCTTGCACACTTAAGGTGGCGGTCGAACTTGAGAATCGTCCGACCGAGGGCGGTGAGGCTGTCTGTGGCGGTTTGGCCGTCGTCCAGTGAGCTTGGGTCCAGGAGGCGGAATGTGCGGACCAGGGGTTGGGGGTGGATGGGCAAGTCACAGGCATAGCATGTGAGGGTGGAAGGGTTGTGGGTGCACCATAATGCTTCGAGCGTGGGCGTCTCCCCGGCTAGGATGAGGTCGGCCATGGTCGAGTAATAGGTGAACTAAGGGAAACAAAAGAACGAACTTAAGAAGTAAGCGGGGTGGGCGACGGAGGCATTTTTATTTGGCTATGCAAGCTAGCATACTCTTACGTAGATATAATTCCTCTAGTCTTACCTTTTACTTCCGGGAATGCAGTGCGGCCCCGATAGCGTAGTTTATACACCCACTTGCACGTTGCATGGCTGCTTCCGCTCCCTTAGCATCCGCCCTTAAGCGAAAGTTAACATGTGCGACCCCTAGCGAAGCGCGTAGCTGGCGGTATCCGCCGCTAGCCGCTGGCCGCTCACCGCTCGCCGCTAGGGGTATTTGCTCGTTGCTAGGGGTATTTGCTCGCTACTGGCGGTATTCGCTCGCTGCTAGAGGTATTCGCTCGTCGCTACTGGCGGTGTTCGCTTATTGCTACTCGTCGCTACTGGCGGTGTTTGCTTACTGCTGCTCGTAGCTGCTAGCGGTGTTCGCTTACTACTACTCGTCGCTGCTGGCGGTGTTCGCTCACTGCTGCTCGTCGCTGCTGGCGGTGTTCGCTCGCTGCTGGGAGTATTCGCTCGTCGCTACTAGCGGTATTCGCTCACTGCTACTCGTCGCTGCTGGCGGTGTTCACTCGCTGCTGGGAGTATTCGCTCGTCGCTGCTAGCGGTGTTCGCTCACTGCTACTCGTCGCTGCTGGCGGTGTTCGCTCGCTGCTAGTATAGCAGTGGTAATACCCGGGCGAGTTCGAAGTAGACCCTAATTAAATTATAAGTCTAAGTTGTTTAGATTTAGAGGGGCGTAGGGGCCGAAACCGTAGGACTTAGCGAAAATTTTAGAATATTAAAATTTTAGAATACTAAAATTTTCGAATATTTCGTTTATCGATTCTTTATAATACTCTACTAGAATATTAACTATAGTTAATATAAGCGTAACTCTTACGTAAAGCTTAGTAGAAGTAAATATAAATATATAGCGTACTAAAGTCTAAAGCGTATCTAGTAAAGCGTAACGCGAGTTCTTTATATAATACGCGGCGTATTAAAAGCCTACTTAAAAAAGCGTAATACTAGCTCTTTATATAATACGCGGCGTATTAAAAGCCTACTTAGAAAAGTATAACGTTAGCTCTTTATATAATACGTAGTATACTAAAAGCCTATTTAAAAAAGTATAACGCTAGCCTTTATATAAAAAGTATAATACTAGTCTTTATATAAAAAGTATAATATAAGCTCTTACGTAAATACGTAATATACTACTAACTATAAAATAGCTAATAAATAAATAAAGATAAAAATATTACGTCTTATTCTAGTTAAAGCCGTATAATATACGGCGTACTTTATTAATTATAGATTATAAGATACTAGCTATAGGATTTAAAATAGTCTTTTAATTATTATATCTATATAGTTCGCTAGTTTTTCTTTTATTAAATAGACTAAGTAATTAGAAAAGCGTTATATTATAAACTTTAGAATACTAGGGCTTTATAATTCTAAGAGTCGAAAGTTCGTATAGAAGAAAGTATTATAAGGACTAATAAGCCTTACGAATAGTAGAGCTATATAACTAGAAATTCTATATAGAAAGAATAGGTATAGGAAAATACGGCGTCTATAAAACTAGACTTAAATAGTAGTTAAAGCCCGTACGAAAAGAACGCCTATAAAAAATCTAGAAAGAGCGAAAGACTATACGTAATAAAAAATCTATAGAGAAAGAAGAATTATAAAAATACGATAATCTAGTAGAATTATAGTTCTATAAAAAATATAGAATCTAGAAAGTAGAAAGTAGACGTAAAAGTATAGATATAAGTAAAATAGTTATTACGTTTACTTAGTAACGATAGAAGCTATCTTCGAAATTCGACCCTCGAGAATTACGCTAAAATCGATACTATTTAAAAGCCCTCGATTTTCTTAGCTAGAATCTCGATTTCTAGCTTTATAGACGTACGCGCTATTATATAATACGTAAAAAAAGAGATACTCTAGATAATACTAAATATAACGGTAGACTTCTTCTACTAAGCTTCGAAGTTACTTAGTAGATAGATTAAACCGAAGGGTTTACCTTAAAGAGATAAGAGAGAGATAATAATAATTAAATAAAAAGATATTACGTAATTATACGATATATAGTAAGCCGGTTATCTTTAAATTAATAGCTTTAAATTAGAACTTTAAGTTAACTACGAGGGGTTAAGTATCTAGCTAAAGAAGTATATCTATATACTATAGAAAAGCTAGTTATAATCTAGTATACTCTTTTCTAAGGATATTATTACTTAGTACCGTCTATTAAGAATATTATAAGGCGTACTCTTAGTAGAGAATACTAGTAGATTATACGTAATATCGACGCTTTAAATAGCTTTTAAAATTTCGACTTTCGGCTTCTATCGCTACTAAGCGGATATAATAACTATCTTACTTATATTCGCGCTTCTACGTCTACTTTTTACTTTCTAGATTCTATATTTCTTATAGAACTATAGTTCTACTAGATTATCGTATCTCTATAGTTCTTCTTCTTCTACGGGTTTTCTATTACGTATAGTCTTCCGCTCTTTCTAGGTTTTTTATAGGCGTTCTTCCCGTACGGGCTTTAACTACTATTTAAGTCTAGTTTCGTAGGCGCCGCGTTCTTCTACGACCGCTCTTTCTATACGGGATTTCTAGTCGTATAGCTCTATCGCCCGTAAGACTTATTAGCCTCTATAATACTTTCTTCCGTATAGGCTTTTAGCTCTTAGGATTATAAAGCCCTAGTATCTTAGAATTCGTAATACTATCTCGACTTTATAAAGAAAAATCTCGTCTAATAACTTTTAACGGCGAAGGGTAATATAATTTATCTTATAAGGCCGTAAGTTAGTAGCGGAATTAGAAGTAGAACGTTTCTTAGAAGATATAACGAAAACTTATAGAGAAAGAAAAAACTACTAGAATAATAGAAGATATATATAAACGGTAAATCTTCGAAATAAAGATTCTTAAGATAGAAGATAGTATTATAAACTTTAGAATACTAGAGCTTTATAACCCTAAGAGCTAAAAGCCTATATAAAAGAAAGTACTATAAAGACTAATAAGTCTTACGAATAATAGAGCCGTACGGCTAGAAATCCTATATAAAAAGAGCGGCCGTAAGAAAACGCGATATCTACGAGACTAGGCTTAAATAGTAGTTAAAGCCCGTATAGAAAGAACGCCTATAGAAAATCTAGAATAAACGGAGGGCTATACGTAATAGAAAACCCGTAGAAAAAAAAGAACCGTAAGAATACGATAATCTAGTAGAACTATAATTCTATAAGAAATATAGAATTTAGAAAGTAGAAAGTAGACGTAAAAGCGCGGATATAAGTAAGATAGTTATTACGTCTACTTAGTAGCAATAGAAGCTAGAAGTTAGAATTCTAAAAGCTATCTAAAGCGCTAATATTACGTACGATCTACTAGTACTCTCTACTAAAAGTACGCCTTATAATACTCTTAATAGACGGTATTAAGCGATAATACTCTTAAAAAAGAGTATACTAGATTATAACTAGCTTTTCTATAGTATATAGATATACTCTCTTAGCTAGATACTTAACCCCTCGTAGTTAACTTAAAGTTCTAATTTAAAGCTATTAATTTAGAGGTAACTAGCTTACTATATATCGTATAATTACGTAATATCTTCTTATCTAATTATTATTATCCCTCTCTTATCTCTTTAAGATAAATCCTTCGGTTTAATCTACCTACTAAGTAACTTTAAAGCTTAATAAAAGAAGTCTACCGTTATAAATAGTTTCTTATATAAACTATTTATTATACGAGTCTAAGTATATAGTATTATAGAAGAATTCTTTTATTTATACTATATATCTAGGCTCTCGTCGTACTAGTTATAATATAGTCGAGCGGAATACTTCTTATTATAAGTATTTCTTTATATTTTTTTACGTTACTAACTAGTTATAGTAGATTTTCTAGATTATAAGTAGACTTATCTTACTATAAAGAAGAATACTACTCTAGAGAAACTTCTTCGTTTATAGAAATAATAGCGCTTTCTTTAGTCCCGTTATTTCTAGATAATTCGCGAGGGTTTTAAGTCTCTAAAGAAGCTAAAGCGTATTAAGGCTACTATATCTTTAAAGAATCTAATTAATCTTAAAAATACTAAAAAGAAGCGATCGCTAAAGCGTTTACGTAGCGAGTTCTTAGCTAATATCGCTATAGGCTCTAGTTTCTTAATTAAATTCTCTAGCGCGGGTTTTAATACTATACCGCTAGAGAGTTCTAAGTTAGTCGATTAGGCGCGAGCTATATCTTTATTTAATTTCGAGGCCTTTCTCTTAAGCGAGATACTAGCGTAGAACGTTTAGAGTTTTAACGATAGAACTTTATAATAAGATCTCTATAGCTATCGTAGTTTTCTAGCGGTTTTTAGATATTATTCTAGTCTTCTTTTTATTATAGAAGGTATCTAAACTAACCGTTAACGTAGCCGCTATTAAGAATCTTTTCTATAATCTAGTTTTAATTTTCGTTAGCGTCTAGATTTTCTAGTACTATTTCTTTCGTTTATTAGACTATTATAGCGTTTTCTAGAGCTAGTTTAAAGAGAGTAATATAGAAAACCGGGTATATCTATATTATTTCTAGTAATTTAAGGCGGAAATTAATTTTTTTAATCTATCTATTAATTTTAAATAGCCCTATTTTCTTAAAGTCTAATTTATTATTCGGACGTCTTATTCTAATATTTTTTCTAAGAAGATAGATTTTATCTCTTTCTTTTAGCTTTAGTACCTCCTAGTACCGTCTATTATAGTAGCGGGATATTAAAAATCTATTATATTTAATATCGAGGCTAAGTATTACGAACTCTAGAATACTAGGGCTTTATAACCCTAAGAGTCGAAAGCCCGTATAAGAGAAAGTATCGTAAGAGCTAATAAGCCTTATAGACGATAGAGTCGTACGGCTAGAAATCCCGTACGAAA